TCGCCTGCAACCCCTCCCCTCACCGGCAGTCCTCCCCCCCTCTCACCTGCAGTCGCACCCTCACCCCCTCACCTGCAGTCGTCCTCGTCGCACGTCTTCATGTGCTCGAACACAGCCAGAGCATCCTCGAACCACCCAGAGCGCCCGTACGCGTTGATGAGCGCCGTGTATGTGAAGTGGTTGGGGCGCGCGCGCGTGAGCAGCATGTCCTGGAAGAGCAGCGTGGCGGCGTGCGCCTGGTGCTCCCGCGCCAGAAATCCCATCAACGCGTTGTACAGTCGCATGTTCGGGCGGAACCACGCCTGCTGCTGGCTCCATGAAAACACCTGGCAGAGGCGGGAAGGAGGGAGGGGGGGAGGCGGAGGGGGGGGGGGGGGGGGGGCTTTGAGTGAATTCAGATGCCCATGAGTGCGTTGTAGAGCCGCACGTTGGGACGGAACCACGCCTGCTGCTGGCTCCATGAAAACGCCTGGAGGAGAGAGAAGGGGGGTGGCGGGACAGGGAGGACCCTTTGGGTGGACTCAAGCCCATGGGGACGTTGTAGAGGCGCATGTTGGGACATAACCACCTGCCAGGGGTGTGAGAAGGAAAGGCAAGACTGTCTCCGTTTGGGTTGCACATAAACACATGGAGTTGACTCAAAACGCGCAACTCACCTCAAGCGTGGCCCGCCAGTCATGGCGTCGCTGCAGCTCCGTCATCAGCTCCTCCACCTCGCGCTTCTCCAATCCCCCCGCCACCTCCGCCACCACCTCCTTCAGCGACCCCACCACTCCCCCGCCGCCGCCGCCACTCACTCCCACTCTCACCCCCTCATCTCCCCTCCTTGCTCCTCCCTCTGCTCCCCCACCATGGCTCCGTTGACCTTCTCCGCTTCGTTGACTCTCTAGGCTCCTTGCGCCTCCCTGGCTGCCTCTGGCGCCTTCTCCGGCCACGCGTCTGGCCCTCTGTATAGCCACGATCGCCTGTAGCACGCGGTCGCTGACAGGGCTTCTGTTTGCCATTCCGGGTCCCCTGTGCCGGGGTGCCCTGGGCGCAGACTTGTTCACCCACACTGTCGACTGGGGGGGCCGCGGGGAAGGGGCGGAGGAGGAGGAAGAGGGGGAAGAGGAGGAAGAGGAGGAGGAGGGGAAGGATGGGATAGAAGAAGTGGAGGAGGGAGGGGTCGGCGCAAATGCTGGTTGTGGTCGTGTTGGTGCAACCGCTTTTAGGGGTTGAGGTGGTGGCGGTGCTGCTGCGGCTGCTGGCGTTGGTGATGCTGCTGGTGCTGCTGCGGCTGCTGGTGGTGACGCTGCTGGCGACGTCGTTGCTGTGGTGGCTGGATCTGACTGCCTCCGTGAAACTCGTTCTCTTCTTCGATACTCCCGCGTGTCTTGAAAGCCTATGGCCTTCGAATCCGCACCTGACGCGACAGGCACCCGACGGATCAGTTTGGGCCGTCGGATTGCCATGAGCCCATCGGACTCCCTCGCTTCAGCTGCTCCAGCTGCACCTGCCGCTCCAGCTACCCTTCCTTCAAAGCTCGTTGCCGACGCTATCGGATGATCTGGCCTTGTGGGAGAACGACCTGGGTGTCTAGTCTCTAATTGCGGATCCGCGGGTTTAACTGGGCGCCTGGTGCGGGTTGATCTATCAGTGTTGAGTCCCACGTCGCTTTCGCCCTGCTTACAGATTGCGCTCTTTACCTCGGCACTGTCCGTATCACTCTCGCTGCTATAATCACTGCTGCTGCACGCACTGTCGCTGAGGACACCAGCAAACTGAATCTCCTGGTCATCCCCACTACCGTACCCTAGCGATCTACCATCCAAACTCCCTTCCAGTCTTCCTTCCGGTCTCCCTTCCGGTCTCCCTTCCCTCAAGCCCTCCGATGAATCGCTACTCGATCCAGTTGTGGCGAAATCCGACCGTGCTGACGTGGCAGAAGCGCTGGTTTCATGAAATACGGCCACAGCTCGTTCGGAAGCCTCGAGCCTGCTGACTCGGTGTGGTGGAGTCAGGTTGGGTGGGCTCCCATGGAGTGAAGAAGCATGGACTGGGCTAGGGATGCTGAAAGGGGGCACTCGAGAAGGAAAGGTCGAGGAAGATGCTAGAGAAGGACGAGGTTGAGGAGAATCTAGGCTTGCGATTGGTTGGCGAAGTGTGGGGTTATGGAGTAACGTAGGCACGAGCGATTGAAGGGAGCAGTGTCGAGCGGTTGGAGGGAGAAGGGGAGAGAATGGCGTAGACGTGAGGGACGTAGTGCAGGACCTGCAAGACGGGGAGAGGTACGAAGGAGAAATAAGGGAGGAAGGAGAAGTAAGGGATGATGTAAATGACGACGACTGAGAATCTGACAAAAGCTTCGAGGAACGTTCGCGATAATACACACCTCGAGTCAGTGTCACGGAGAGAAGGAACTCTATTCAGACACAAGGACGCGCTGACACCAGCGGGAAAGGCCATCTTTACGAGCTACGCGACAGAGACTTCAGTCGGATCCCAATAACACGCAAGATATGTTGGAGTGGTTAGAAAGAGAACTAACAGGCTCCGCATGATAAACGGACAAGCCTCTGCATATCTCAAGCTCGTTTCAAAAGGCCGTCACGCATTGTCAGAGCTGGCCTAATCCGTATCTGTACGGAAGAGAAAGGTAGATTATGGATAGAAAAATATGGCTGCTCGCTGAACCTGGGAATGATAAAGCAGCTGATGAAAGGGAAAGGAGGCAGTCTTGGGAGCACCGCGTGTGGGAGTGCCTGACAGTGATGAGGACGAGGAGGAGGACGCAAAAGATTGTCGCCTCCCCAGCTAGCCTCGGGAATATCGCATTGTCCAGTATCTCTCCGCAATTGGGGGCCGACGTGGCAGAATAGCAGCCCAGTGGTTTCAGCCCGTACGAAATTCGCACATTCGCAAAATTTCCAGCACATCGCTGTTGCTATGGAAAATGTTACAGTTCTCGCAGCTTTTCCAATTTCACAGCGCATAAAGTGATCACCCACTTGTCGCAGATTTTTCAGGAACAATTATCCCAGGCTTTCCATTCCATGACATTATCCAGGTTTCCCGCCAAATTGCTGTGCTTGATGAGTCGACATGGAGGCCAGAGCTAGCAGTAATACTCCATGAAACTTTCAGCGTCCAGCTTCTTCCTGTTCCTGCTGTACCTTTGCACTGACCGAATAGTACCTCCCCTGCATTCGACTGATTGTCCCTGCATTTATAAATTCGACGGATTGCTCCCTGCGGCGCTGCGTCAGCCAGCAATGGCTGCTCTAGACTTCGAGGCTCTGAAGAGTTACGTTCGAGATGGGCCAACGGGTTCCAGCGCGCTCGCCGCTCCCAACGACGGCGACACCGTGTCTCTCCTCGTGACGCACAGCCATCTGAAGCGGCAATTCATCGACCGGAAGTTCTCTCTCAGTGCAAGTCCACCAACCCTTATTCCTGATGTAGTCACTAAGCGCGATTTTCAGACACGATAACATGATTCCGCAGGTAGAGGACAGTAAACCTTACAGCATCGTTTCTTTAGTTTTTCGGAAAGTCACCTAGTCCGGATTCACGAGTTACCCATTCTGCTTTTGAGTCGACTCAAAGCTCCGGAATCATGAGTTACTCATTCGTGCTGTCCTTGCCCTGAGCAGAGCACCGTGGAGCGAGTGAAGGAGCAGCTTCAGGTGCACACGGGAACCGCCGTGTCAGCCATGCAGCTGCAGCTGTTCAGTGCTTCCGGCAACTCGTCTGAAACAGATACTCTCTTATATTCAGGACTCGAGGATTTCCGACCTCTGGGATACTACTCCCCTCAGAACGGGTACTCTTCATGACCCCAATCTGTCAGGCCTTCCAAGTGAGGTCGCTGACATGTGAAAGTCTGTCTACTGAAAATACGCCTTACCTCTGCATGCTCTGGACTAACTGCTCTTTTCGTTTTGGTCAGATACCGTCTGCATGTGATTGACACTGATCCTACGTCAGCAGCCGCCAGTGGGTGGCTGGAAGACACTTCGCTGGTGGAGAAATACTCAATATCTGAAGAGGACTATGAGAAACGAGATGGTACGTGATGCTAAGTCTCCGCTTGCCACTAGCAATGTCTGCCAATGTTTCACACTCAGGAGCTTACACTGCAACAAGTCTGCCAATGGCTTCCAATGTTTCTTTCAGATTCTGTCCGGAGATTCAAGCAACAACTGTACACTGCACGGCCTGACCTTGCCCCTCAGCCTGTAAGCTGGATCGTCCTTCCTGTTGTCTTCACCAGCTTAACCTTCCCTCATCGAAATTCACTGGTCGTGTTGCTATTTCGGAGGTCAACATTGGACCTTGTTCTTGTGGCGTCCAGCAGTGGCGTCCAGCAGTGATGGAGGGTGATGGAGGGTGATGGAGGGTGATGAGTGGCGTCCAGCACTGGCGTCCAGCACTGGCGTTCAGCTATCTCATGCGTTTCATGCGTCTCGCTCACTTGTGGGTTGCACATTCCAGGGTTTCTCAGAGGACTTTATGTCCGACATTGCATCGACTATGAAGGTGCGGAAGCTAGCTCATATGGCGTATGAAGTCTGACTGTGCCAGCATTGTGCAAGTTCATCCGTGCCGATATGGTCTGATTGATCCTCATCATCATTGTTCTTGTTCTTCAACGCAAGCTCAGTTGTCTGTTGCAGGTTGGCGACAGATGTGAGGTGGACCCAGGGGGCAAGAGAGGAACAGTTGCCTTTGTGGGCACGGTGGATGTCCTTCCCAAGGGGTTCTGGGTGGGAGTCAAGTTCGATGAGCCAGTGGGGGTCAATGACGGAAGGTGTGTGGGGTACTCTTGTTGCCACTGGGCTTTCCACCTCATCTTATTCCTTCAGTTTCCCTCTCCTCTCTCTCTCCTCGTCTTCTTGCACTCCTATGTTGTGCTTGCCTAAACATTTCTCTCCTCCTGTGGTTTTGCCTTAGCCCAGCATATGCTACATGCTTGCAACATTTCTCCCCTCCTTTGCCTCAGCCCAGCATATGCCCAACCATCTTTTGTCCACTACATCGTTGCACCATGGTTGCTATCATGTGTGTGTTTGCAGTGTGGAGGGGAAGAAGGTATTTGATTGTGAGCGCAATTACGGCTCGTTTTTGCGGCCAGACAAAGTCAAGGTGAGGGAGGGGGACTACAATTGTTACTCCCTTGTTTACCTCCTTTCTCCGATTTCCTGTGTATGTTGTCCCTGACTTCTTTCCTGTTGAAGGATAGTTACTTCCTCCAATATTTCCTTTCTCCTGGCAGGTTGGGGACTACCCTGAAAGAGACCCATTCGATGATGACGAGCCCGATGAATTCTAATGACCACCTGCGTTTCGACACCGTAACAGATCACTAACTCACACAATGCTCTGCAAAGTTCGTCTGCACATATTCAAGAATGTGGCCCCTGGTCCGTGACCTTATGCGTAGGGAGGAGTCATTTCAGACACGCAGACTGTGTATGTAGGCAGGTATATAGGCTGGCAGATGTACCAATTTTATCGTTTGAGTTCTGATTCTCGATTTAATTGCAGGAATTATACACGAACGTTGAAAAGTGCAACCTCTATTTCTCTTCTAGAACCATCGCGATTCTCAGGTTGTGTGCTCTTTGTCGAGGCAATGTCAAGGGGCAGCAGCTGCCTCACACCCAAGGAAGACCTGAGGCACCTCAAGTCAAGGCCTGTGCAGCCACTGCAGAACTTGATCATTCAGGGGCATGGCCCAATGGCATTCCACCGTGCTGGTTGCTGATCATTGTGTGCCAAGCCACTTCATCGTGTCCACGTCACCCCCAGTACACGTCTGGGAGAGAACGACGCTTGTGATTAGCCGAACACATTGCCGCTTCGGAAACGGAAGAGCCACACTTGTAACACAGTGATGATAGCAGGTCCCCGCGAATTTCCCTCGAAGCGTCGCCGAAGCAAAGCACCAGTGGTGCAATCCGTGAAGACTCTACGCGCAGAAAAAATGTCTATGCTCCCACAGCAGAAAATATGGCTTTGCTAAGAGAAGTTTTTTCTCGTTCTCCTAGCGGGAGGTCCGCTTCCCAATCCCGTTGAACATCATGGCAACGGAGGAAGCATCCAGGAATGTCGGAGCGGCCAATGCAGCAGTTGACACAATCACATCAGCTGTTGTTGACCCCCGTCAACGCGATTCAAGGACTAACTTATTGGATTGCAACGGCTCTACGGGTGGTGCGAATTCTGGTGGGAATGCTGTAGATGACGAGTTGCACAGACACGGAGCAGCTTATAACGAATCTGCCAGGGTGGAAGGAGGGCGTGATGGAGCTGCCGTGTTCCGCGTGGTGATCGTGGGCGCGGGGCCAGCAGGTCTGGTTCTAGCGAATCACCTGCTGACACGTGGGGGCGGCAGGTTCCACGTCAGCGTGGTGGAGAAGGGCGAGGACCCGCGAGAGAAGGTGGAAGAGGCGGTGGAGGTCGCGAGGAGGTGCGCTGGGCTGGCGTGGACTGGGGGAATTGGGGAATTGGACGTAGGTGGCGTGAAAGGGGGCGTTGTGAGCAGGCCGGGCATGCACTTTTGAAAGCATGTACGAAGGTAGTACACACGAGTCTATGATTCCCCCGCTCTCCTCCCCCAACTTCCCCCCCCCCCTCTCTCCCTTCCCGCCCCCTCTTAAAGCCCTGGGTCCGGATTGTCCAAAAGTTAAGCAGTTGAACGGGGGGGGGATTTTTGGTTGGATAGTGAACCCCGATTTTTTTCGCCAACCTCAGCGCCCCGAGTAAAAAGTTCGCTACACTGCTTCAAGTGTTTAACAAACCCCCCTTCTTGGAAAATCCGGACTGCAGGCTGTAACCATCCCATTCCCCCCCGTTTTCTTTCCCCACTCCCACCTCCCACCTCCCACCTCCCACCTTCCACCTCCCACCTCCCACCTCCCACCTCCCACCTCCCACCTCCCACCTCCCCCTCCCACCTCCCACCTTCCACCTTCCACCTCCCACCTCCCACCTCCCACCTCCCACCTCCCACCTCCCACCTCCCACCTCCCACCTCCCACCTCCCACCTCCCACCTCCCACCTTCCACCTCCCACCTTCCACCTCCCACCTCCCACCTCCCACCTCCCACCTCCCACCTCCCACCTCCCACCTCCCACCTCCCACCTCCCACCTCCCACCTTCCACCTCCCACCTCCCACCTCCCACCTCCCACCTCCCACCTCCCACCTCCCCCCTCCCCCCTCCCACCTCCCACCTCCCCATTTCCGTGGCAGGTATTCCATCGGGCTCAACGTCCGCGCATTCAGATGCCTGGATGCTGTGCCTGGCCTGCTCAAGACGGTGCGTCCCGGTAGAGTGGGTGAGGGAGGTGTCCCATTCGCCTGCACCATGCGCTCATGGGTAGCGTGTGCGTGGTGCGTCTCTCCTTACTCGCTCGCACCCCTCCCGTTTCCCAGAGTGGGAAGCAGAGGACAAGTCAGGTCAGCGTGGTCTTGGAATTAACTCCAACGTGCGTATCCATGCATCCGCTGTGCGCAGGCGTTGTTAAACCCTGTTAAACCACCAGTTGTGCCAGGAACGCGCCGTTACTTGGCGCAGCTCGTTTCTTCTTCTACTTGCTCCTGCACTTCCCTAATGCTTCAAGTCTCCCTATCCCGCCCCCCCCCCCTTCTCCCCAACCAACCCCCCCCCCCTCCCCCCCACCCCCCCAACCAGGTGCTTGCGTGCATGGTTCCTATTCGCCAGCTGTGCATCGGCATGACCTCCAAGCCATCTGTCATCCCTTTCAGCCACAAGGTGAGGGAGGACGCATGGCTTGGAGGTGAGCCAGGTGAGGTGATCCACTCGCCCCAATCCGTGCGCTGCAGTGCAGTACAGGCAAGCACTCGTCCCTCTCAATCAACAGCTGCATGCATTATCCCATCCAACCCTTTCCATGGCCCATTCACGTGCTTCCACACCCCTCATATTCTCACACATACGCATGCATGCCCCCCCTCCCCCCCCTCTCCTCCTCCTCCTCCTCCCCCCCCCCCAGGACCCTCCTGTCCTTCTGGCTGACCGCACTGCCCTCTGCTGTGCGCTGCTGCAGGCGCTGCTGGGGGAAGGTGCGCAGGGGGGAGACCAAGGAGGGGAGCGAAGGGGGGAGCGAGGGGGGGATCAAGACGAGGGTGAGGGGGAGTGTGAAGGGAAAAGACCAGTGAAGGATGGAAGGGAGAGAAGAGGGGAGATTGGTGGAAGGGTAGGGGAGGAGAGTCAGGAAGGCGAGGAGCATTCAGGGGGATCCTCAAGGGAGAGTTTAGACCTGTATTTCAACACTCGGTGCGAGGGCATCAACATCAAGAAGCACACGGTGACACTGCAGCCAGCTGAATGCAGCGCCAGCGCCAGCCTGAAGCAAGCCGACTCTGAGCAGCCAGCAGCATTGGGGGGGGCAGCAGCAGGTGCCGCGGAAGCGTTGGCAGCAGTGGGAAACAACCAGACTCGTGGTCGGGGTGCTGTGACTGCAAGCTGCCATGCCTGCCAGCAGAAGCAGCAGCCAGTGACGCTCGGCTACGATCTTCTGGTGGGGGCGGACGGGGTTTGCTCCACTGTCAGAAGCACTCTGGTTACCCGGACTAGGGACTTCGCCATCGAGTCTCTCCCCATCTTTGGCGAGTGGGCCGTGGCCTCCATCCCCGCCCCTGCCTCCCTCCCCCCCTACTCCATGATTCTCGTTCCCAGGGTGAGTGGTAACCAGGAGGGGCCAGAGAGAGCCACTTTGGGAGTGGTTGGGTGACCATCAAACCAATGTGTTGCGCGGTGTTTCCTAGTGTGAGAATGACTACCCCCCATGCTAATCTCTTGTTACTGTCTCCTTGCTATTTCTCCTCTCAAGGTCATCTCTACTCTCCCTCCCCTCTCTCTCCCCCCTCTTCCCCTGCCCAAGAATGCAGGTTCCCCGCACTCCTGGCATATCCGTGGTTGGGCTCCCAGCACAGGGCGGCAACCTCTGTCTTTTGTGGGCATGGTCTGCCTTGGCGCGGCCCTCGGATTGGCTGGCGCTGAGGAGCAATGCTGAGGCCACAGAAGAGACGAAAGAGGCGGGAGGCGAGGGGAGAAGGCGTGGAGAAATGGTGCCAAGGGAGGGTGGGATGGAGGGTGGGAAGACGGCTGGAGGGGAGGGAAATGCAGACAAAACGGTTGAACCAGAGGGAATGGCTCAAGGGCTCAATGGTACCAGCAGCAAGCGCAGGGGGCATGAAGCGAGGGAGAGGGCCTTAGGGGGGGCAGAGCAAGAGCAGGGGGAGGGGGCCGAGAGGAGAAGCAGGGCCTTGGCGTACATTGAGGAGAGGGTGCCGTGGCTGGGGATGACGGCGGAAGGGGCGGAGACGCTGCTCAATCAGCAGCCGCGCACAAGCATGAGGGTGAGATGGGTGGGGTGATGTGTGGTGTGGTGGGTAGTGTGAAAGGTGGTGTGATGTGTGGTGTGAGGTTGACATGTCTCTTCTTTCTCTTTTTTCTTCTTACTCTTGGTTCCGGACCTTGCCACGCCCCCCCTCTCCCCTCCCCTCTATCCCCCAATCGCTCTTCCTGCATTTTCTTCCGCACTTCCCACCACCATTCTCCCTTCACCCATTCCTCCCACACTCAACTCCCGCCGCTCCCCACCCTCCTAACCCCCTCCTCTCCCTTCGTCATTCCTACTTCACCGCACCCCATCCCACCCTATCCCAACCCATCCCACCCCGTCCCACCCCACCCCTCGATCAGGTCAAGTGCTGGCAATATCACGAGTCGGCCGCCCGGATCGCTCTGATCGGCGACTCAGCACATGCCACGTGTCCCTCCCTAGGCCAGGGCTGCAATGCTGCCATCACCGATGCTTCAGTGCTTGCTCGGCTGCTTCTGGGGGAGGTGGTATCCAGAGACACACTTATCCCTCCACACACGGAGGAAAGCACCTGGAAGCTGCTGCAGGGAGTGCAGTCCAGGGAAGGAAGCGGAAGGGTGGAGTTACACAGAGAGGTGAAGTGCGGTGCAAATGGGTGCTCTGTCAGGAGTAGGTTGAGGAGCTCCCTTCATATGCTCTTCCGAACGTCTTCAAGGCTGACGACAGGGGTGGGCGGCAGAGTGGCGCCAGAGGCACCGGCGGACTCTGTGGAGGCTGAGAGGGGAGGGGATGCGTCGTGGGGAGGAGTGGGTGCATCACCGCAGCACCTAAGGAAACACCTTGCTGGGCTGCTTGCTCGGTACTCAGCCCTCCAGGTGAGTCCAGGATCTGACTCTGTCATTGCATTGCATTGCATTCAAATCGATCAATTGACTGCACACAGATGATGCCGGCTTTCCCTAGAGCAAGTGGATCGCGTTTCTGATCATCTCTGATCATCTCTGATCATCTCTGATCATCTCTGAAGCGTCCATCCCCTTGCATGCCTCCCAGGTGCCAGAAGGTCATGCTCTTGTCGACCTCTCTGACGCCGGGGCACCCATCAGCAACCTCTACTCTGTAAGCACAACACTGCACTGTATACTGCACAACACTGCACTGTATACTGCACAACACTGCACTGTATACTGCACAACACTGCACTGTATACTGTGCAACACTGCACTGTATACTGTGCAATACTGCACTGTATACTGTGCAACACTGCTCTGTATACTGCGCAACACTGCACTGTATACTGCTCTAATTCGGTGTGATCCGTGCTCGTTACTCATGTCTCCATGCATTTCCTGCATCAGCCTGTGATCTAGACTGTGATCTGTGACTTTGCACTGGCATGCAGGTTCTCTCTGCAGTGGACATGATTCTTCGATCCCTCCTCGCCAAGTTCCTGCCTGCTTGGATGGTTTCACCGCCCATCCAAGTACTCTGCTCCAACACCACTCTCACCTACTCAGCCATCCTCACGCGTTTCAGTGGGTGGGTAGCAGCGATCAATAGTTCAAACACCAGGCTGAGACACCTGTGGTATAACAGCCAGAGAGAGGGTTTGCTCAAACAAGCATAGTATTTATCGAGGGAGGGAGTGTTCTTCTCAACAGCTACTCGGACAACACCAGGCTGTAGTAGATGTGAGAGTGGGACCAGGCAAATGCCTGTGGAAATGGCTCTAGCGGAGTTGAGCCACTCAATAGTAGAAAGATAGGATAGGATCATAGTGTCCCTTAAGAAGCAAAAAACCAAACCCGAAGGTTTTGGTTTTGGGGGGTCTCGGCAATTGCGAGGTGCGATGAGGGGTGCTGGTTGGGCGTTGTAACTGTTTCTCAAAGTTCGTCAATGTAAGGAATTTTCCATTCCTTACCGAGCGGTACTGCTATCGCGTACGCTCGAACACACCTGAAGCCTCGGGAGTGTTCCAGACCTTCTGACAGAACCGCCTCGGTTTTTCCAGACTTTCCGGTTCGACCTTCGGGAGTTCTCCAGGCCTCGCTTCGTCACTTCGAGACCCTTCGATCTCCTTCCCGAACCTTCCCATCGCATGGTTAGACTAGCTCTGGTGTTCCTATATCTTGGCTTGCCATTCCTTGTATCGTCATTCATTGAGTGAACACTTCGTTATTCATTTCCGCGCTACTCTGCTTGTTCATTCATAACACCTGGTAATCAGAGCCACTTTCCTCGCTCACCCGTTTTCGTGAGTTGATTTTTTTTGGGGGGGGGATAGGTCCCTCACGTAAGCTGCAAAGCGGTTGCCCGCGAATTAGATTGATTAATTCGCCCAACTACGATAGCGTTTGCGCTTACCTGAGTACAGGCACACGACGGAATTCCCCCTGCCCCGGCGGAGCATTCGCCAAATGGACCAAGCTCAGTTCAACGAGCTTCGGGAGCAGTTCAACGCCATGAACACGCGCATGGCTACAGTGCTGGAGGACAACGAGCGACTTCGTGCGGAAGTTGCTGAGTTACGCCAGGCGCGAGAGGATTCGCGTCAGAAAATTGCCGCCCAAGAGGAGGTCGCCAGCACCGGACGTGTCGAAACCGTCTTGGACGAAATCGCACGTCAGGTGTCACAGGAGCGCAAGGACAGTGAAGCCGCCGCAGCAGCTGATGTGGCAGCACGAGCAGCAGCAGCAGCAGCAGCAGCAGCGACAGCAGCAGCCGCTCGGTCAGAAGCAGCCGCTACTGTAGCCGCACCGGCGTTTATGCCGATCGTGACGACAGCGACGATCAAACCGACAATGCCGCCCCCGTTCAATCCCACAGATAAGCATACTACTGTTACGGGCTGGTTATTTTCGGCAGAACTTTATTTTAATGCCGCTGGGATCACTGCTGACGAGTTAAAAATTCGACTGGCTGTATCACTTCTACGGGGACCTGCGCTAGATTGGTGGCGATATACTCTACAGGAGGGGGAGTTTTCAGCAGGCGACACACAGGGGTTTTTCGGAAACTTTGGGTCTGCTGCCCAAGGGTCAACCGCGATTTTTGGATCGACCAAGATTCGCACGTGGAAGGCGTGGGGTACAGCTCTGTGTGAACGTTTCGAGCCAATATCCGCCTCGGACAACGCACGCACGAAGCTGGACAACTGGCGCCAGTGGAGTTCTGTCCAGGATTACGCGTCGGTCTTCATGGCGTTATGCGATCAAATCACCGACATGCATGACTCCGAGAAGAAAGCTCGATTCATTTCGGGTTTGAAGCAGGACATTAAATGCGAGGTCCGACTGCGACTGCCGGCGACGTTTCACGAAGCCGTTCGGATAGCAGACAACTTCGACGCGCATCGGACGTATGCGAGAGCGGGTTCCCGGGAGGGAAATCGTTTTCGTGGCCAGAATCCACGGCCCACGATTCACGGCGTAGTGGCGAAGGAGCACATGGACGATTTTCGCAAGGGACAATGTTTCAACTGCCACCAGCCGGGTCACCAATCTCACGATTGCCCCCGAAAGAAGCAGATAAAGAAGAACGACGAGGACACGTCGGGAAACGCCAAGCGTCAGTAGCGGTCGGGCCCCCTACTGACCCTGCCTCATCGCCCGAAAAACAACATCCCCACCGAGTAGTGGTTCCGATACATGCTATCAACCGCTCCCGGCTGAAAAGGGAGGATGACCCAGTGGACCACCCTGTACTGGCGGAAGGACGACTTCATGGAAGAAAAATAAAAATATTCATAGACGGAGGTGCGAGTCATAGCCTGATAAATCGAGAGACGGCACGACGGCTACACCTGACGCTGGAGCGGTGTCTACCCGAAATCGACGCACGATTGGTGGACGGCACCCCGCTGGCGATACGCGACAAAGTACCTGTCGTTCGAATGAAGTGTGGCGACGATTTTGGTTTCAGCGCGCCGATGCTGGCGACAACGCTCGACGGTTACGACGTGCTCTTGGGACGCGATTGGCTGCGACGATTCAACCCGCAGATCGATTGGACAACAGGCGAGTGCACAGTGAAGTGCGACAAAGGTTGGCGAAAATTACCCACGTGGCCGGAAGCAGAAATAACATCGACACGAGTCAACGCGGTGTGCCTCAATCGAGCGGTCAAGAATGGAGCGGATTTATACGCCGTCCATCTAACCGAATCGACGGAGCAGAATGAGGCGACCGACATCAACAAACTCTGCGCCTCGGTCCCGGATGACTTGGCGAAAATCATTCGAGAATATCCTGAGATCTTCCCGGACGACTTGCCAAGTGGACTGCCACCCGAACGACCCCAGGACCACAAAATCGAGCTGGAGCCCGGCGCGCATCCTACGGTACGCACGCAATGGCGCCTGACTCAGCCGGAGCTACAGGAGTTACGAAACCAGTTGGACTACCTGCTGGCGAAAGGGTTCATTCGGCCGAGCATGTCCCCGTTCGCAGCACCGATCCTGTTCACACCAAAAAAGGACAGTGGACTTCGCATGTGTACGGATTATCGTGCCCTTAATCGGGTAACGATTAAATCGCGCTACCCAATCCCACGAACAGACGAACTGATCGACAACCTTCGCGGAGCTCGTTACTTTTCGAAGATCGACCTTCGTGGCGGTTACCATCAAATTCGAGTGTTCGCTGACGACTGCCACAAGACCGCGTTTCGTACTCGCTATGGGAGTTACGAATACACGGTGATGCCGTTTGGATTAACGAACGCCCCCTCGACGTTTCAACTCACCATGAATGGGGTATTCCGCGATCTACTCGACAAATGCGTGATAATCTACTTGGACGACATCTTGATCTACAGCAAGACCCGGGAGCAGCATTTAAAGGATTTGGAAGCGGTTTTTCAGCGACTGCAGCAGAATCGTCTCATCACCAAGGGCTCCAAGTGCGAGTTTTTAAAACAAGAACTGGAGTTCCTGGGGCATGTGATCTCCACGGAGGGGATTCGAATAGACCCAAAAAAACTCCGGGCTATTCAGGAGTGGCAACCGCCAACAAATCTGCAGCAGCTGCAATCCTTTTTGGGTTTCGTGAATTACGTGCGGAGGTTTATACCCAACATGGCGGGGTTAACTGGACCTCTAACCGACCTACTGCAGAAGGGAACTTTTTACGAGTGGGGGGAGAAGCAGCAAGCTGCGTTTGAGGCATTAAAAACTCTTTTAATCTCGCCACCAGTACTTCGCATCGCTGACCCAGAACGGCCCTTCGAAGTCATCACCGACGCAAGTGACATCGCCATCGGAGCAGTGCTCATGCAGGATTTCGGCAACGGGCTTCAACCAATCGCGTACGAGTCTCGGAAAATGCAATCTGCTGAGCGCAACTACCCAGTACACGACAAGGAGATGCTGGCGATCGTCCACGCGTTCAAAATTCGGAGGTGCTACCTGACTGGGGCAGACGTGACGGTGCGAACCGATCACAAATCACTACAGTACCTGAGGGCGCAGCCGAATCTCAACCCGCGGCAGATACGCTGGCTGGACTATCTGGAGTCGAACTTCACGTACAAGATCACGTATAAAAAGGGCGCCAATAATATTGCCGACGCCCTTTCCAGACCATCTGCCCAACTCGCAGCAGTACTAGTCGCCCAGAGCAACCCGCTACTGAGTGGACTATTTACCCACGGGTATTCGACTGACCCCTTCTTCGTAAACGACGGCCATCTCCCAATCACTACGCGGAAAGGCGTCTATTACTTACGAAGCGGGACTGATCGAATTTGGGTCCCAAGTTATCGTCTACTTCGCGAATTACTAATTCAAGAAGTCCACGATTCGAATTTATCGGGACATTTCGGGGTTGATAAAACTCTGAAGGCGTTGCAGCGTTTTTATTACTGGCCAGATATGGTGACGAACGTGCAGCGTTACGTGGCCGCGTGTCCGATCTGCCAGCGAATGAAATCCTCACACCAGCGACCAACAGGACTGTTGCAGCCCCTCGAGCCACCTCAACGCCCATGGCAACACGTAACGATGGATTTCGTTACGGGACTACCGGCCGGATCTAGCGGAAACGACGCGGTTTTGGTTGTCGTCGACCGATTGACGAAAATGGCGCATTTCGCACCATGTCGTACAACCATCACAGCCGAAGAAACAGCGCGCCTGTTCATCTCGACCGTCGTTCGACTACACGGGATACCAGCAGCAATCATTAGTGATCGAGATCCGAAGTTCACGTCAAAATTCTGGCAGGACACGTGGGCTCGGTACGGCACGCGTCTACAGTTCTCATCCGCGTATCATCCACAAACGGACGGCCAGACGGAAAGGACAAATCAAACGATGGAGCAGCTAATTCGGACAAACTGCCCCGACCGAAACAAATGGGAGGACGTGCTGCCCATGTTGGAATTTTCCTACAACAACGCGCCCTCGGCTACGACTAATCACTCCCCGTTTTATCTCAATTACGGGATGGACCCTACAGTGCCGATCTCCACCAACGTTGAGAGTCAAGTACCACGATCGCAGCAGTTCGTCGAAGAATTACAGACCGCCCGATACAAAGCTGTCGAACTTATTCGTAAAGCGAACGCGACTGCCCGACGGTATGCAGATTTACATCGACGGGATATTACGATGACGACAGGGCAACTAGTCCTTCTGGACACCAAGAATTTGCGACTACCATTACCGACAAAATTACGACCACGTTTCTGTGGCCCGTTCAAGATCGTGAAGATGGTGACGCCGGTGACCGCCCAGTTGCGCCTACCTGATGACTGGCGAATTCACAACAAATTCCACGTGAGTCTGTTGCGACCATTCGTACCTGACACGTCGGACATCGCTCGACAGCGATTGGTTCCAGATGTACGGCCACCAGCCGAGACGACCATCGAGCCTTTGAAAATCTTGAGCCATCGGATTCGTATCGACGGTCAAGGACGACACGTTGATTTTCTGATACGATGGACCAATCGTACCAGTGAGGACGACACGTGGGTGCCCTCGGACCAGATACAGTCACCTTCGATACTTGCGAATTATTTGGACCGCAAGCACGTAGCTGATATAGATCACCTTCGCTAAGGGGGGGGGTGGTGTAAGGAATTTTCCATTCCTTACCGAGCGGTACTGCTATCGCGTACGCTCGAACACACCTGAAGCCTCGGGAGTGTTCCAGACCTTCTGACAGAACCGCCTCGGTTTTTCCAGACTTTCCGGTTCGACCTTCGGGAGTTCTCCAGGCCTCGCTTCGTCACTTCGAGACCCTTCGATCTCCTTCCCGAACCTTCCCATCGCATGGTTAGACTAGCTCTGGTGTTCCTATATCTTGGCTTGCCATTCCTTGTATCGTCATTCATTGAGTGAACACTTCGTTATTCATTTCCGCGCTACTCTGCTTGTTCATTCATAACAGTCAACCCAAAACCGAAACCTTTGGATTTGGTTTTCTGCTTCTTGAGACCCTCGCTTTAAGGGACACTCCTGTTTATCCAGCATGTCTTACATACACATTGTACACGCCTTTATTCTGGTGCACATCTCCTGGCATTACAGGGATTAGCAGCAGCCATGTACAGGCTATTATTCTGTCTACTTCTACCCCTTACGTGTATTACCAAGCCTTGTCAGGTGTTTGGTTTTCCCACAGCAAACATCCCAGTCGCCCTTCCCCCAGGGGCCTCAATAACCCCATGGTACGACCTTGGAGCTGCCATTATTCTCCTTAAAGCCCCAGCCACCGACAAGCCAGCCTCTGCTGCAACGTGCTCTGCGTCGTAACACCATCCAGACGCCGTGTACTTGTACCTTACTTTCATCACCTTCCTGTCGCCCTGAACAATCGACCCGAGGTCAAACGGGGGACTGTTGGTCACATTAGACCAGTACGCGGAGGAAAGGGAGAGCACCGGCGTGCTGGTCCGGGCTTTAATCACCCTCACGGACGTGGGGAAGCCCGGGGTGGTGAGGCCGCTGAGGCGCAGCGAGTAGCGCACGTTGGCGCTGGTGGCGTTGCGGAAGACCACGATGCGGATCGCTGCTGTCACGCTGTCGTTGCCCCTCAGCCGCGCGACAGCATGACCTGGCAGGGAATGAGACAGTGAGGGGGGTCATCGTGGCACGGGGGACGATAGTGGAGGCGCACAGCGAAGGGGAAATCTTGGAAAGGCGCGTCGTTGCCCTTGAGCCGCGCGTCAGCATGGCCTGGCAGGGAATCAGCATGGCCTGGCAGGGAATCAGCATGGCCACAGTGGCAAGGGGCGACAGTTGTGAAGCGCATAGAGAAGAGGAAATTCTGGCGCCTGCTAGGCAAGGGTCATACACACACATGAGAAATGAGTGTGGCATATGGACAGGTGAACACACACATGAGAAACGCAAGCTCCGTTGGTGGGTATTCTAGATGAGGTCCATCGACGACGCTAGCATTTCTAGCTTACTCCAGGGGTGGCCGCACTTACTCTCGTACGACCCCAGTGAATCTTCTGGAATGCCTTCCCTTGTTACTAAAGCGCCAATTGGCCTCGCTGGCGAATCTGCACGAAGAGTCTTGTCGCCAATCAAGGTTACAGTCGTGGCCGAGTTACTGTCGGGCACACGCAACCCTTCTGAAAATCAACAACACAACACAATTACAGGAGTTCCACTTCAAGTGACGTCAGGGGCTCGAGGGATCATATTTCAGGAGAGCAAAGGGCAAGTAAAGAGCAGAGGTGTCACCTGCGACGAGAGGGCAGGCGAGCAGCAGGAGGCAGAGGGGAAGCCGAGATCTCCGAAGCCACATGATGACAGGCGGTGTCTGGGGAAGACGATTTCCGGGGAAGACGGTGTCTTACGAGGGTGCTAGTAGCAGTTCTAGTAGCGCAAGTAGAGACTTCTCAGGCTGCAGTGAAGATAAGCGATAAGGACACAAGCAGTCGGCGTACTATATTACCACTGATAGTACGTTCACAGCATGTTACTAGATTCTGGCCTGGGCGACGTATTCGCCTTGAGCGTTGGCTTATCGCCATGAGGTCGGAAGGGCTGGGGTGGACTGGCGTGCGTGTCGCACGAACCATAAGGACGGAGTATGCCATGAGGACATGCTATGAGGTGGACAAAATTAACCACTGGTGCGGCCACGCGCTTTTTCTTAGGCGAGCTTTGTGACCCCGACTTTGACGAATGGGTGCATCTCAGGTCATGCGAAAGCGATGGCAGCGAGAGCTGGCGCAAGTTCATGCTTGCTCGTGCGACGTCGACGAGCATTGGCGAAATTGACAACTAAGACACCCCCCTCCCCACCCCCTTCCCCCTCCCACCCTTCCCGTAAATGCAGAACAGGGGCATTTTCGTTGGCGGTAGCTGTTTGTTACTTTGTTCATCTTGCCACTGCTTGCTCCCCGTCGCTCATTCTCGCATGGGACGGGATTATCGCGAAAAGTGAGTACAGTAGAAGTTGCCACTGGCGTGAAACAGCGTACAGCAGTGGATTCCGTACACTGGAAAGGGGTACGGCAGCGAGGCTATACGATCTCGGCGATTGGTCAATCGGGCTAGAAACCGGATGTGCGACGCTCGCCAACTGTGCCACATTGGGCCAACCTTGATGATCGTCTAGCGCGACGCGCAGTGGCGAACTTGCGATCGGTGTCGTATTGCGTAACTGCTCGCGACACGTTGAGCGAGAGTGGCCTGATCGCCGGGCAGCGGTGGCTCCATAAAAAGGAACACCCCCCCAAATAGCGTCTACGTGTGCGAATTCTGCGAGCGGGAGTGGTTTGTGCCTGATGGCAGATGGTGGTGATCCCACTCAAGAGGGCAGCCAATTGGATCTCCCTGGAAAAATATATTGATTCGATAACCAGTTGACGCACAAATACGAATTGCCTTCTTACACGTTTCCCAAAATCATGGATAACAAAAACAACTATGCCACAAGCACGGGAATCAGGCATGCACCCTCTATCGACTATATATCACACTCGAATGGGGTTGAGGCCAATGTTGAGATCAGAAGCAATAGAAACCAACAGCGGCTGGGTAGGATGCCAAGCGGCCTTGAAGACTCGCTTATCATGCGCATCCACTGTCAAAGCCGGCTTCATACCCATCCATCGCACATCGAATATATGAATCTTAGGGTCGGCTGACCCGACACTGATCTGCAGCCCGTTGGGCGCCCAGCAGGAGGAGATGAGGGCGGACTGGGTGTCGGAGGCCGACTGCTCCCACCCGAATATGTGCAGCTGCTTGCGCTTCGCCCTGAAGTCATACAGCCGCAGCTGCTCACATGGCGTGCTGCCATTGGTGGAGACCAGGGAGGTGTGAAGGGGAGTAGATGAAAGGCAGGATGGGAAAAGGAGAGGACAGGAGTACGCATTCCAAAGGGGTATGCAAGGTTCCCCACAAGAAGAAGAATGCACAACAGAAAATGGCGTGCTGCGAGACTCCACAAACCTGTCTGAAAACCCTGGGCTTACTCAGACATGGACAGAAGAAAAAACCCAAGGAGCCCCCAACGAGGCAACCCAGCCGGACTGCACTAGGAAGAGGTTGACGACCGCTGGGTTAGCAATCTCGTCACGGGCAGGGAGTCCAGCATGCCAGGGAGCACGAGCTGCGCCCCAAGAGCACGAACTGTGCCCTGCCCCTCTCCGTGCATCGCGCACCAAGGAAGAGCCCAAACCCAAAGCAGCACACCGGAACCTGAATGAGTTACCACCCCTCGGACGACCCACCCTGACTGCACGAGGAAGAGGTTGAAGTCGAGGGGGTTGGCGAGCACGTCAGTGAGGCGCGAGTCCAGCATGTCTGAGAACACAAGCTGTGCCCCGCCCCTCTCCGCGTCGCAACCCAGAATGCGCTTGTCGGCCGCCACCGACAGCACCACTGTGCGGCTTCGTAGTCCCTCGGTGGCATACACTCCTGCTGTGTGCCGCGTGCCGTGCAGCAACTGAAACAGAAGGGGTGGGGATGGGGGGAAAGATGATGGGACGGGCATGCGCTTGTCTGCAGCCACCGACAGCACCAAGGTGACTTTTGAGTCGACTCAAAAGTCACCACTGACAGGTCCCTCAGTCCCTCGGTGGCACGCACCCCAGCTGTGTGGCGCGTGCCGCGTCCCCTGGTGGGTGCTGGGGGGTGCTGTGCGGTGCAGGGCGATAGGAGGGGAATGCACTTGTCTTGTGCCACAGACAGCACCACTGATCGACCAGTCAGCCCATGTGTAGCGTACCCCTGCTGTGTTGCGCGTAGCGTGCAGGACCTCAAACAAAGGGGAGGGAGATCGGATTTGGTTTTGAGATGCCTCAAAATCTCAAAACTACAAATCAAAACTTATGAGGCGCCTCAAAACTAAACCTCAAAACGCTTGAGGCGCCTTAAAACTTTTGAGGCGCCTCAAAAGTAAACCTCATAACCTTTGAGGCGCCTCAAATGTAAACCTCAGAACCTTTGAGGCGCCTCAAAATTAAACTTCATAACCTTTGAGGCGCCTCAAAAGTAAACCCCATAACCTTTGAGGCGCCTCAAAAGTAAACCTCATAACCTTTGAGGCGCCTCAAAAGTAGTGTGCAGGATCTCTAACAGAGGGGAATGGAGATCGGATTGTGACAAGACCCTAACCACATATCCATTCCAACCAAACCCCCCACGCAAAAATGCCTAAAAGATTCTGTAAGAAAAGGCAGACTGCGCAACCGGTCCAGTCATCTTGGGCAGGTCAGCATCGGTCTTCCTGTCCCCCCAGCCGCAGCACCACCCCGTGGTCGCTGCCCCCCGTGGCAAACACAACGGGAGAACCTAAACAGAGAAAGCGACTCCCATACACAAGCACTCGCCGCGCCTCACCTTTGGGGTGATCTTGGGAAGATGAGCCTCGTTCCCTCCACTCCCCCCTTCTCCCCCCTCCTCCCGCCACAGCACCACCCCGTGGTCGCTGCCCCCAGTGGCGAACACAAAGGTGGGACCCGCCCACGGCAGGTAGCGGATGCTGTTGATGATGCCCTTCTGGTGCGGATGAGCGGGCAGGGGCACACAGGGGGCCTGCAGGGGAGGAGGGGGAAGGGTGGGAGAGGGGAGAGCAGGAGTGGGATGAGGAAAGGAGATAGTGGATGCTGTTGATGATGCCCTTCTGGTGCCAGCGCGACAGCAGGGGGACTGCAGGGGGACTGCAGGGGGACTGCAGGGGGACTGCAGGGGGACTGCAGGGGGACTGCAGGGAAGGAGGTGGAGGAGTGGGAGAGGGGAGAGCAGGAGGTGAAGAACAGAAGTGGATGCTGGTGATAGTGGATGCTGGTGATAGTGGATGCTGGTGATAGTGGATGCTGGTGATAGTGGATGCTGGTGATAGTGGATGCTGGTGATAGTGGATGCTTGTGATAGTGGATGCTGGTGATAGTGGATGCTGGTCATAGTGGCTATTGATCATGCCCTTGTGGTGCGGGCACGAGGGCATGGAGGTTATTGGACAGAGGTGCTTGGACGGAGGCGCTTGGACGGACGTGCTTGGACGGACGTGCTTGGACGGAGGTGCTTGGAAGGTCCATGGGGGGGGATGCATGGGGGGGGACGCATAGGGGTGATGCATAGGCGGGAATGCATGGGGGGGTGCATAGGGGGTGATGCAAAGGGGGGAATGCATACAGGGGGATGCATAGGGGGGGATGCACAGGGGGGGATGAATAGGGGGGGATGCATAGGGGGGGGATGCATCGGAGGGGATGAATAGGGGGAGATGCATAGGGGGAGATACATAGGGGGAGATGCATAGGGGGAGATGCATAGGGGGGGATGCATAGGGGGGGATGCATAGGGGGGGATGCATAGGGGGGGATGCTTGGCTCCCCTAAGCCCCATGCTTTTAGTGCCATCCTTTAAGTGCATCGCATGCTTACATTGGCTGTGTTCCGCACAGCGGCCACCTGGCACGCCTTGCCGTCTGCCTCAAACGCCGCCAGCAGGTGCGAGCCCGAGGGGTGCCACGCAATGTCTTCCGGCCAGCGCTTGGAGGGAGAGCAGTCCGCAGTGAACCGCCGATTCATGTTGCGCCTGGGGGGGGGGCAGGGGGAGGGCAGGGGGAGGGCAGGGGGGGGGAAGTGGTGGGGAGGATGTGGGCGAGCATCAAACGCCGCCAGCAGATGCCAGCCCAAGGGGTGCCAGGGCGATGCCCTCCGACCAGCGCTTGAAAGGGGAGCAGTCCGCAGCGAACAGCCAATTCCTGTTGCGCCTAGGGAAGGGAAGGGGGGGGGATAGAGGGTGGAGAAGGGGCTGGACCGGTGGTGAGGCGGGACGACTCAGGCATTAAAGGGTCAAGAGGGTACGGAACGGAGAGACATACTAGGCACAGCGACGTAAAATGCAGAGGATGGCACGATGAGTATTGAAGGCGGAACGTGGCAGGAGGAAGGTGGGCAGTGGACGCTAAGGTGAGCCGGATTTCACGAACTATAAGGATCAAAGCGAGCGGCGACTCACCCGCTAGCGCTGATGGCCCAGAAGCTGACCGTGCCATCCAGAGAGTTGCCACATGGGGGGTTGCAGATAACCGCAGTGCGGCAATTTTCGCACAGGCACATGCACATGCACATGCACATGCACATGCACATGCACAGGCACACATGCGAGCCAAGTGAGTGGCGACTCACCCGCTAGCGCTGATGGTCCAGAAGCTGACCGTGCCGTCCAGAGAGCTGGCAGGGTGGGGGGCAGACGATGGCAGCAATACTCGCACATGCACATGCACATGCACATGCACATGCACATGCAAGCACAGGCACACACAGGCACGCAAGCACATACATACACACACTCTCATGCACCCACACACAGTCACACGCAAGCAAGAGAAAGGGGTCTCCTGCACAGGGGTCAGCTCAGCTCCATGGCAAAAGCATGGCAAAAGCATGACACAAGCATGGCAAAAGCATGGCAAAAGCATGACACAAGCATGGCAAAAGCATGGCAAAAGCATGACACAAGGCACCTGAAAATGCAAAGAGCTTGCACATTGCACACATGAACCGCCGTTTAGCTCCTGTAATCACATCAGTGCACCTGCTGCTTTTGAGTCGACTCAAAAGTCAACGCAGAGAGCTCACCTGACAGCACCTGAGAGCTCACCTGACAGCACCTGAGAGCTCAACTGACAGCACCTGAGAGCTCACCTGACAGCACACTGCGAGGGGTTGGCGGGGTTGAGAGCGATCGATCGCAATCGGCGGCGGTGGTTGCTGGGGATGTACGTGGGTGGTAACAGGTGCGGTAACCATGCGGAGGCCCGCTGCTGGCTGCTCTCTGACCGCACCAGCGGCACCAGCTCCTCTGATTGGTCGGGACCCACCGGCCAGTGGACTGCAGTGGTGCAATTACGGAATGGGGTGGGGGGGCGGGGAGGGGGGAGTTGGAGCCAGGACTGCACGGATTGCTGGATAGCAATGTGACAAGGGCAGAGGCAAAGGGATGGAGTAGCAGCAGCACAACGAGTGGAGTAGCAGCACCACAACGAGTGGAGTAGCAGCAGCACAACGAGTGGAGTAGCAGCAGCACAACGAGTGGAGTAGCAGCAGCACAACGAGTGGAGTAGCAGCAGCACAACGAGTGGAGTAGCAGCAGCACAACGAGTGGAGTAGCAGCAGCACAACGAGTGGAGTAGCAGCAGCACAACGAGTGGAGTAGCAGCAGCACAACAAGTGGAGTAGCAGCAGCACAACGAGTGGAGTAGCAGCAGCACAACGAGTGGAGTAGCAGTAGCACAACGAGTGGAGTAGCAGTAGCACAACGAGTGGAGTAGCAGCAGCACAACGAGTGGAGTAGCAGTAGCACAACGAGTGGAGTAGCAGCACCACAACGAGTGGAGTAGCAGCAGCACAACGAGACGTGAAACATGAAGAATCTGGGAAGCAAGAGCCCACCAGTTTTCTTCTCTTCCTTCCCCCTCTGCTCCTTCCCAGCCTTCCCCTTCCCGCCCTCGCTACCACCCGCCGCGCCCTGCAGTAGAAAGTCATCATACGACATCCCTGCCGGCCTCGCCTGCCCTCCACCCCTCCCTTCCGCCTTCTTTCTCCCGCTGCTCTCCGCGCCGTCAGCCCGTCCCACCCCCCCACCTCGACTGCCCCCACTACCCGCGTCCAAGACGCGCCTAGGGAGAGGGGACGCGTTCTGCCTCCCCTTCCTCTCCGTGCCGTCGTCTCTACTGCCCGCACCACCTCGATTGCCCGCACCGTCCGCGTCCACGACACGTTTAGGAACGGGGGAGGCGCTCTTCCTGCTGCTGCCCTCCACGCCACCATATCTCCCCGCCGCGCCACCCGCGTCCAAGACACGTCTAGGGAGAGGCGAGGCGCTATTCCTACCCCTGCGATCGTCATCCTCCTTGCCACCCCCACCACCAGCACCAGCATCAGCAGCAGCAGCAGCAGCAGCAGCAGCAGCACCAGCAGCAGCAGCAGCACCAGCACCAGGAGCAGCTGCAGCGCCTGCATACCGCCTGGGAATGGGAGACAGGCTTTCCTTTCCGCCATCTCCTGCCTTGCTCCGCTGCCTGGGCGACTCTTCGCTTCCAAGGGGCATCTTCCTTCTTCCCTCCTCTTCGTCCCCCCCCTCTCGCCGCCTCTGCCCACCCTCGCCTGCCTTGCGCCACTCCCTGGGTGCCTCTTCACCTCCAGCACCCGTCTTCCCCCATCCCACGTCCTCACCGCTCTCCTCTCGCCGCCTCTGCCACCCCTCTCCCCCCCACTCCCTAGCTGACTCTTTACTTCCAGCAGGCCCCTTCCTCCGTCCCTCCTGCTCGCCGCTCTCCTCTCTTCTCCTCTTCCGCTGCTGTCCCTCCCTCGCCCTCACGCTCTCATCCTCATCCCTTGCAACCCCATCCCTTGCAACCCCATCCCTTGCAACCCCATCCCTTGCAACCCCATCCCTTGCAACCCCATCCCTTGCAACCCCATCCCTTGCAACCCCATCCCTTGCAACCCCATCCCTTGCAACCCCATCCCTTGCAACCCCATCCCTTGCAACCCCATCCCTTGCAACCCCATCCCTTGCAACCCCATCCCTTGCAACCCCATCCCTTGCAACCCCATCCCTCTCCATCCCCGCTCCAGCTCCATTCTCATCTTTATCCCATAAATACCCATCCCCATCCCCCTCTCCCCTCCTTCCCTTATGGGCACAACTCTCACCTCCACCCCCATCCCTACCTACTGCGTCCTCTCCCCTTCTTCCCTTCCGCGCATAAGCCTCACCTCCTCCCCCACCCCCGCCCCTATTTCCACCATCTTCTCGCCCCCCCCTGCCATGCCCACCCACGTCACCCCTACCATAGCTTCCATCCCTGCTGTGCCGAACCTCCCTACCATCGTCACCCCGACCATATCTCCCATCCCTGCTATCCCGAACCTCCCGACCATCGTCACCCCTGCCATAGCTTCCATCCCTGCTGTGCCGAACCTCCCTGCCATCGTCACCCCGACCATATCTCCCATCCCTGCTATCCCGAACCTCCCGACCATCGTCACCCCTGCCATAGCTTCCATCCCTGCTGTGCCGAACCTCCCTGCCATCGTCACCCCTACCATATCTCCCATCCCTGCTATCCCGAACCTCCCGACCATCATCACCCCTGCCATAGCTCCCATCTCTGCTATGCCGAACCTCCCTACCATCGTTGCCGGCAGCACCATCCTTTCCACTCTGAGTCGGCTCTCGGCGCCGGCCCCACCTATCCTCTCCCTGCAGGCTCGTCTCAACATCGTCGGCCTTGGCAGTCCCCCCCTCAGCATCACCCAGCACCGGCTTGCCCCTCTCTGAACTCTGCCGCAACCCTTCACGAGTCTCTGCCTTTCCCCCTTGCCCCTGCTGTTGACGGCCGTCGAGATCACAGAGCCGCGCGATCTCCGCTTCGGTCTCCGCCAGCCGCTGCCGCGCGCCATCCGCTTGCGCCTGCAGCTGCTGCGCCTCGTTCCGCTGCTTCCGCGCAACCCGCTCCAGCTCGTCAATCCGCTCGCTGTAAGCACCTCTCGCAGTAGCATCAGCAGCTGTAGAATCACGTGCATGCGGTTCGGTTCGCGCTAAGCCGTCGCCGCCTGCACTATCAGCAGCTGCAGCGTCGAGCCGACCGCGAATGGGAATGGGACTAGGCGATCGCTTTCCCTGATTCTTCAAATCGCACGCTAAACTCGCGGCTGCCCCTTTCTCGCCCACCGTTCGCTCCTGGATCGGTCCCTGTCGATGCTCTGCCCGATGCTCCATCCGATGCTCTGGCCGATGCTCTGTCCGATGTTCGGTCCGGTGCTCTGGCCGATTCTCAGTCCTAGCCTCGTCACTGCTCCGTCTCTCCCCGTGGTACTCGTTCATCCGCGTCCCCCTCTCTCCGCCGACTCGACCTTCCCTGCCGCTCCTCTCGTCTGCTTCGCGTTTCCCATCCCTCCCTCGACGCTCCATGCTGCTCCCTCCCCATTCGATGCTATCTCGGCTTCCTCTGTCTACGATTGCTTTAACGTCTTGCTTCCGTGGATCGCGGTCTGCCGGGTCCATGTCAGTTACAGAAAGACCTGGCAAACACAATGAGGGAGGGAAGGAAAGGAAACTAGCGGATCCCAGATGTGGGCAACTCGTAGTCAGGAGAACCTCAGAAAAGCTGTCTGAATCTATAAAATAATATTTATTTTGTCGAACGAGAAAATGTGGTTTCGTGGTGTAGTTGGTTATCACGTTAGTCTAACACACTGAAGGTCCCCGGTTCAAGTCCGGGCGAAGCCATCATTTTGCTTTCCGCAAGCCGGGTGACGAGCCCACTTTTGCTCTTTTTCACCTGGTGGCTTCAAACTCCAGATTCCAAGCTTTTGCACTAGCACATTATCTCCACATAGGTTGTAGTATGACAGGTTGTAGTTTTCCGTCCCCTCTGCTGGAAGTGCTGTGTGCCCCAGCTCCTCAGTCCTGATTCTTGAAGTCCAGGGGTTGGAGCCCTGCTTGTTCTGACGCACTGCTAGTTTTAGCATCAAATTCCCCCCTTGTAGGTATGATGCTACCCCCCTCGCATTTCCCAGCGAGGCCCCTCCCCAGGGGGCCGTTCGCTGGCAATTTTCCGAGGGGAACGGGGAGGGGAACGGGCGACCAAATCCCGCGCGTATGGAATCTGCGCAGCCAAACCTACGTAAATTTTTTTGTGTGCCCCCGTACTTTGGTAATCATAACGTCGCCGGCTCATGATTACGTCTGTCACGACTGCAGGACTGGATAAGACAAATTCGCGGACAGTGAAGAGTGGGGCCCACCAAAAGCCCTCTTAGGCCATCGCACTTTCGTGGAAAATCTAGCGGAGAAAATGAGATTCACACAATTTTGTCAAAACTGCCCATTTTTTTAACATTTCAAAATGTGACCGATTGGATGGGTATGAGCTGGCGCAGTTGCGCAAATCGACGGGTAGGATTGAAGGGGAAGTGGCTGCGGTTTTTTTTTTGGGTTTCGTAAACCTGCCCAGCCAAGAGGCATGCCAATCTTGGCCTGCCTCATACCACGATTTTGCAGTATGAGGTGTGGCACGGAGTTTGCCTGGCAGCTCTGGGCGGCTGATGGCCGCGCTTCGGGTTTGGCATGAGAAGGAGCACGCGATTTGGGGGCAATTGGTTTGGGGAAACCGAACCGACGCAACGTTTTCGCATGCTGACGTCACGTTTCGCAAATTGGGTTCGGCGAACCCACGAAGCCTCGATCGATGTTCCCCATGCCTGATTTCCCTCGCCGTGCCGGTGAAAAATTGGCCAGCGAACGGCCCCCAGGTTTGTGTAGGAAAAGTCAAAGATATAAGTCAGCAATTTCGAGCCTCTCTACCCTGGTAAGGGCAAAACTTCCCGCCAACCGGATTCGAACCAGTGACCTAAGGATTGCTACACTACAGTCCTCCGCTCTACCAACTGAGCTATAGCAGGTTGAAGACGCATGCACAGATAAATTGTTTACCTAATTAATACCCTGCTGTGACACCTCCATCTACCACCAGTGTCTGCCCTGTCACGTAGCTCCCAGCATCTGAAGCCAGGAACAACACCGCATTTGCCAGTTCCTCTGGCCGGCCCAGCCTGCCCATGGGGATCTGCTGCTCCATGCGCCTCCGAGCCGCCTCCTCCGTCACGCCCCACGCCTCTGCCCGCTTTGTTGTAAGGTTGGCAATTCGTGCTGTGTCGTAGCTTCCGGGTGCCACGTTGTTGACTGTAATGCCGTGGGGGGCTAAGTCCTGAAGTAGAGAAATTGGGGACGAACAGGGTGGGAGGGCGAGGTGAGGGCCGAGGTGTGGGCTTGAAAAATGGAGGTGGGAAGGTGGAGTGAGGGAGGGCGAGTGGAGCAAAGGCAGGGGGAGGGAGAGAGCAGGGTCCTTACAAGGGAGAGGGTCTTTAGTGATTCTTACAAGGGAGAGGGTCTTGAGCATGCCAACGACGGCAGGGCGCATGGCATTGGAGAGCAGCAGGCCTGGGATGGGCTGCTTCACCGATGTGGATGTGATCACCACAATGCGACCCCATGAGGCTGCCTGCAGATGACAGTGATGGCGTGGCATGGAATTGGAGGGCTGAACAGCACATGAACCAAAGCTGGATTTCAATAGGGGTGGAAATGGACTTATTTACCATGTAGACTAATATCTTACATCGGGAGAACTTAAATTCGTGCCCTCACTGCTGTGCTCCCACTGTACCTTCATATGAGGCACTGCGTGTTGAACGAGGCGAGTGGTGGACATGAGCGTCCCCTGAAACGCCTCCTGCCACTGAGCCTCTGTGACGCTATCGAATGTGCCAGGGGGAGGCCCTCCACTGTTCGCTACAAGCACATGCAGCCCACCATACGCCTGCAAAACAGCAGCGTGAGGGATAGACGCGAAGTAAGGAGGTGCTTGGGAGTGGGAAACGGGCAGAGGGGAACCTCCATTGATGAAAATGGCACATGCAGCATTGCACGATCCTGCAAAGTAAATCAGTGGCAGAGCAGAAAGCGGCAATGAGGAAACACTCAAGACTGCACCTTCACTGTAGCATCTACAACAGCTTCAAGCTGTTCCGCCTTAAGGACATCCGCCACCAGCGGAAGCACCTGCGCGCCCCCCACCTCTCCGCGGATCCTTTCCGCAGCCACCTCAATGCGCTCGGGGGAGCGAGAAAATATTGCCACTCGCGCTCCCGCCCTGACTGGGAGAGAGAGAGATGGCGGCAGTGAAAGCGGGCACAAAGACTCTTCTTGACAGTTGGACGCAGGTAGAATGAAGAAGAAAATCGTAGGGGGAACAAAGAATCTAAATGAAGGGTAAGGATAGATTCCGAGTCGAACTCGGGACGAGAGATTAATGGCGCGATAGGGAAGACAATGAGAACGCGGAAAGCAGGATGGGAATCATGCGAACCTGGCGAAAGCGAGAGCGCAGTGGTAACCGAGTCCGGCGCTCGCTGCTGCGACAAGTGCTACGCGACCCTGGAGTCCTAGCGTCATCGCTTCCATGTCAAAAAAGTATGTACGTTGTGGACGTGACAAAATGGATGATAAGATGTTGCTGCGTGAATGAGCTGAAACGAGGGAAGAAGTGAATCTCTAGCAGGACTGCAACGAGAAACCTGACATTGGGGGAGAACAATGGACCCAACACGGGGAAATTGAATGTCAGGTTTTCAGCTGTCTTGCTGGCTGTCTGACCGAGGGAGAATGAAGAGAGGAAATTGTGTTGCAGCAGCAGGAGGGACGTGTCGTTTCGCTGACGTTAGCAGAGCAGATGATTGGGTTTCTCGAGTTATATTTTATCAGGCATGGAGACAATTTGGCGATAATCACCGGAATGAAAAACGCTGCAACGCGTACGAACCGAGAACACTCCCTGTCAGACAGGCTTCCTGGATTCTTGAATCTCCATCATGGATTTCCTCAGTGTCCTAGCTTCAGTCCCTTAGTTTCTCCTGTTGGCCACAGAATCGCAGGCACTCTGTTCTACGACTACAGAATGCTTGCTAGTACGTGTCATGACTTATTCCGTTTCCTGTTCCGGTTTTCAATCACTTAATAGCCTCGGGTTTACGCTTTATCGAGGTAGCAGTGCTTGTGTTCTTCATCCAACTTCCCACGGGTTGTGTACTAGAATTTCCGTCTACGACCAGCTTCCTGTTGCCTCCCGTTTCTCTCAACGTCGCCGTTTCTCTGCTCGCTTTCCGCTTCTCATGGCGTCTCATAATCACGCCGAATCATCCGCCGTACCTGAAGTCGCAAATCCCGCTAAGGTGCACAAGAGCGCCGTTTGTGTGATTCCTCCAAAAGAGACATGGAGCTCCATCCAAGCCATTCGTGTCGTACACGATAAAGTGAGTCGCGCTTTACGACAACTTGCATAAGACTCTCATCGTACGAGGTGCATACACGCCTTTACTAAGCATCTTCTCCGTTTCAGTTGACCAACCAGTGATAAGCTCTTGAATCCGTTCCGCTTGTTACTCTTGTTCCTCCTATCCCGGGCAGCGTAGCACTACAAGCGATGGATGCCTCACATGAACCTGCTGTACCCGTTTTGGGAGGACAAAGGGGACAACTTCCGCAGAGCAGCAGAGATCATAGTAAGCTGAAAAGTGCCAACCGTTTATTTCCACCAGCTAGTGTTTTTTAGTCAGTGAATATCGCTAACCTTTTTAACCATAGCTTTCTCTGTCTTTCGATTTCCTCAACTTCGCCTGTCTCTTCTATATCACACAGCAAACAGCACTGGCGGGTACAGAGCCATTTGAGATCCAGCTCGCCTCATTCAACGATTTCCATCATGGCAAGAGCTGCACGGTCTGGCTGCGGCCCACCCCCTCAGCTCCCTTTATCGTCCTTCAGAGCAAGCTGGAAGCTGCCTTCTCTGAGTGCAACGACCTCAGTCAAGTGGTAGCTGACCGCTTCTGCCCTCACCTCTCCGTTGGCCAGGTGGGAGGCTCAGGGAAGACTTCCAGGATTATTTTTTCATAAAGATGTCTCAAGTTTCTCCTTTCTGTTTCTCTGACTGTTCGTTAAAATTACTGACAGTGGCGCAATAAGAAGGAAGCACAAGGAGCCATCAGTTTATTCCAAGAGACATGGACGCCCATCTCGTTTCAGCTTACCTGCGTCTCCCTTATCAGTAGGCAAGGTAAGCCTTTAATCAAATGTGGGGTTCTGTTGCATCGTCATTTTTTTGCACTGACATGAGCAGATGTTTAACTAGTCTACTACATCAGTTTCCAGTTGTGAAGTATCCAAGACAGCATGCATGTATGTCTTATCCCCTTCTCCCTTCACTTCTCCTGTCTGCACTCTCTGAGGCGCAGATTTTCATGATCCTTTCCATGTGCAGCTACAAGTGCCCTTAGGTTCGGCGCTGTAAATTTATGGAGAGAGCACGCCAGAGAGAGCAAGTGCTGAATGAGGGACGACTATGTAAAAGTCATAGTGAATGCAGTGAGATTCTTAGAATAAAAAAACAGACCAATTCTTTTAGGTCAGCATGTGTATCGTGGTCCTATGGTCTAGTGGTTATGACGTCAGACTCTGAATCTGAAAGGCCGAGTTCAATTCTCGGTAGGACCTCGGTCTCAGTAGTCGTTTTACATTACCAGGGTAGATTGCCCACAACCCCTCTTTGGCCGTCTGGCAGTTGGAATGGTCCAGCAGACACGCAAACGAACGCTTTCCAAGTTCTTCCTGGGGGACTGTGCCCCCAACACCGCGCTTTCCCTTCCCTTCTAATCCCCACAAGCCCTCCGCTCGTCAACACGATCCTTACCTTGGAAATTTTGGAATAATGTGGTAGCATTGAGGATCCTAACTACGCCATTTCTTCGTTCTAACTAGTAGTTGGTGTTGTAGGACCTCGCTTTTATTATTTATTTTGCATTTCCAGGGTCGATTGCCCACCACAACCCCTCTCTTTGGCCATCTGGCAGCTGGAATGGTCCAGCAGACACGCAAACGAACGCTTTCCAAGTTCTTCCTGGGGGACTATCCCCCCAACACCGTGCTTTCCCTTCCCTTCTAGTCCCCACAAGCCCTCCGCTTGTCAACACGATCCCTACCTTGGAAATTTTGGAATAATGTGGTAGCATTGAGGATCCTAACTACGCCATTTCTTCGTTCTAACTTGTAGTTGGTATTGGCAGATGTATTGGCATGGAGTAGTGGGCTCTGGGGGTGCTGGTTCTGGGGGTGCTGGTGTTGGACGTGGTTGTGTTGGGGGTGCTGGTGTTGGACGTGTTGGTGTTGGACGTGTTGGTGTTGGGGGTGCTGGTGCTGGACGTGTTGGTGTTGGGGGTGCTGGTGCTGGACGTGTTGGTGTTGGGGGTGCTCGTGTTGGACGTGTTGGTGTTGGGGGTGCTGGTGTTGGACGTGTTGGTGTTGGGGGTGCTGGTGTTGGACGTGTTGGTGTTGGGGGTGCTGGTGTTGGACGTGTTGGTGTTGGGGGTGCTCGTGTTGGACGTGTTGGTGTTGGGGGTGCTCGTGTTGGACGTGTTGGTGTTGGGGGTGCTCGTGTTGGACGTGTTGGTGTTGGGGGTGCTCGTGTTGGACGTGTTGGTGTTGGGGGTGCTGGTGTTGGACGTGTTGGACTTGGGGGTGCTGGTGTTGGACGTGTTGGTCTTGGGGGTGCTGGTGTTGGACGTGTTGGTCTTGGGGGTGCTGGTGTTGGACGTGTTGGTCTTGGGGGTGTTGGTTCTGGGGGTGCGAGTTCTGGGGGTGCTGACTCTGTGGGTGTTGGTTCTTGGGGTGCGAATTCAGGGGGTGCTGGTTTTGTGGGTGGTGCGTCCGAGGGTGCTAGTCTTAGGGGTGGTGTTTCGGGGAGTGCCCGTGGCAGCAGCGGTGCCGCTGGAGGTCCTAGAGAGGACAGGGAGCTGTTGCAGCCGCAGCAGCAGCCGCAGCAGCAGCCGCAGCAGCACCCGCAGCAGCACCCGCAGCAGCACCCGCAGCAGCACCCGCAGCAGCAGCCGCAGCAGCATCAGCCGCAGCAGCAGCCGTAGCAGCACCCGCAGCAGCCGGCGCAGCAGGAGCAGCCACACTCTGCCCTTCGTCTCCTTGGGCTTGCTTCAGGTTCCCCTGTCCGCCCGCCCGTTCTCCCTCCGGTGCGTAACCCTGTTTACGGGTCGTTGTTCCCTCCTCCGGACTACTCTCCGGCTCGTTCTCCCCCGCGCTCCCCTCCGTCCCCTGACTTCCCATTTGTTCCCCCTCGTCCCCAGCTCTTCCTCACTGGGTCTGTCGCCTCTCTGGTGCTCGTCCTGTCTCTCCCCGTCCTAGAGTCCACCTATGGTCCTTCGTTCGTGTGCTCCTCCAGTCACAATCCTCTCGTTGCCTCCCCCGTCGTCGCTCCCGTCGTCCCCCCCTCCTCGCTCCGACACTGCTCGCACTGCTCGTCCAGTCCTCTCGCGCATGCTTGCGTCGCTTGTCACCGACCCTACTGCACGTCCTGAGTCTGTCTCTGCGCTTGTCGCTGCTGTCACTGACTTTGTTGCTAGCCACCGCCTTGACTACGCTGCCGCTCTGCTTTCTGGTACTGCCTGTCCTCCGTCCATCGGGGGTGCATCTGCCCTTCGCATTGACGTGCTAGAGGATAGGCAGTGCGAGTTAGCCTACTTTGCTGTCGCTGTTCCCCATCTCTGCTCCATGCTTGTATCCTCAGAGGGCGACCCAGACGCTCTCGACATCCCTGTTTCGTGCTCTTACGCTGAGGCGATGTCGGGGCCCTGGGCAGCCCAGTGGATACAAGCCATGGAGGCTGAGATGACATCCTACAGATCCACAAGCACTTATGTCGACGCAGTTCCCCCGCCTGCGACGAACGTAGTCGATGGCATGTGGATCTACAGGGTGAAGCGGGCACATGGAGAGCCGCCGAAGTTCAAGGCGCGTCACGTGGCTAGAGGCTTCAGCCAGCGTAAGGGTGTGGACTTCTTCCAGACCTTCTCCCCGACCCCGAAGATGACTACACTTCGGGTCCTTCCTCACACAGCCGCACAGCGTGACTACGAGCTTCACTCACTCGACTTCTCCACAGCGTTTCTGCAGGGTAGTCTGCACGAGCAGATCTACATCTGGTGCCCTCTAGGCTTTTCTGGGTCCTTTCCACCTAGGACCGAGTGGAGCCTGCGCTGTCCTATCTACGGCCTTCGTCAGGCACCCCGTGAGTGGCACGACACGTTTCGCACCACTCTTGCTGAGCTGCAGTCCTTTCCGTCCTCTTCTAACCCCTCTCTCTTTGTTCACATGGATAAGACACCCTTCTACATACTAGTGTATGTAGCAATCTAATCTTTCTAACTCCTGATAGAGTCGCACTGGCCTGAGTGAAGGCCGAGTTACTCTGGAAACATACCTGTACATATTTGGGGGAGTTGAGGTGCTATCTGGGCTTGGAGATATCTCGTGACTGTGCCGCTCGCACGATCACACTCTCCCAGTCCCATATGGTGCAGCCGATCCTTGAGAGGTTCAATCTCCAGTTCTCCTCAGCATAGCCCACCCCTCTGCCTGTGGATGACAAGCTCTCTGCTCTTGTTCCGGCTGAGCTAGTCGAGGCTAGTGGTCTATATGCAGAGCTGGTGGGGTGTTTCATGTACCTGATGACCTGCACTCGACCAGATCTAGTACACCCTCTCACCCTCCTTGCTTGCTTTGTCGCGACAGGCAGGCACCGACCAGTTCACTAGCGTGGACTCTGACGTGGTCACGCTAGCCAATAACAGCTTCGACGACTGTGTCGGCACGGAAGAGGAAATGCCTAGTTTCTAGGTGGCTCAAACATTCTGACGTGATAACTCTCGCCAATGATTCTGATTTTGACGACGTGCCGTGGAACATCTTCGGACAGGCTCTCTGTAAAGCACAAGGCTTATAATGGAGGTGTTACAAGCTAGAAATGCGGAATAGTAACTAGATGCACCTCATAATGAAGCCTTGGCTGTCTTGAAATTGTTTGAGAGTTGGGGAAGAAAGCCTTGGAGAGATCTTCAAGGTTAAAGCTTGAGAGCAGTGGTAAGTGGTGGTGAGAGAGTAACTCCTCTAAAGCTTATGAGGAGAGAAATCTAACTTAGAGAAAATCCCATTTCCAACTTTGGTTTGGTGGAGTTGGAAAGAAAATAATGAGCTTGGGAGCTCAAACCCCCTCCAATAACTCCTTGGGGAGCTCCTCCTCCTCCATGGCTACCAAGGGGAGGAACTTCTAAGGTGTGATGTGCTTAGGTGGCAAATTGGTTGGATTTGTTATCGAACTATTTGAGAGTTGTGAGATTTTAGATTGGTTGCTGTTGGGTTATTAGTAACCCAACAGGCAACATGTTATGAATTAATCAGAGTAATAACATGTAGTGTAATAAAGGAGTCGTGATTCAAGAGTGTCGATACAAATGAGGGCTTAGGCATTTATAGGCACGAACAGAGCTAGCTGAGGACCATGCGAACATGTTGGGGCGGTCTGGTTGGCAAAAGCCACGGAAGCGCCGCGCGTCTAGGTTTGGGTTCGCGAAGTGGTTCGGGACCGAAGAAGTTGGCCGAATAAGGAACTTCCGAGAATCGAGGGAGTACGCGCTGTAGTCGAGCCTAGTCAGGAAAAGGGAATTTCCTTACACCACCCCCCCTTTGGGGATGAGACTACCCACATCCGGAACACGTCGTCTGTATAAATAGTCCCGGACTATTTAGTAGTCGCTGAGCATAGCTGATGGGACCCAGAGATCGTCGTCAATCGTGCGATTGACCCAACGTACAAGGAAATCGACGGCGGCCGTATCTCGATGGCCTCGTACGTGATGAGCGAGAATCTTGGACGGCTCGATTGTTGGCTCGGGTACTGGGTTGACCGTATGATTGATGTGTTGACAGTTGAGATAAGTCATACTCGGGACGAACGGTCGCAGGAGACTGACGTGGAACGAATCATGGATTCGCTAGTCGGTTGGCAGTTGCAGCTGGGCGGTGTCTGGTGTCATGATGCGGATGATGCGAAATTGGCCGCAAAATCTTGGTCGTAATTTATTTGGGAGGGGAATTCCCAATTTTCTTATGTCGAGCAGGACCAATTGCCCAGGGGCGAGTGTTAAGTCTCGGCGTCGTCGATCATCTTGCTGCTTAGCCCTCTGGTTGGCTTTTAGGATGGCATCAGCGGCTTTTGTTGAGACTGTCGGAGGTTTTCGACGAACTGCCCAGTAAAGGAAAGGGAATTTCCTTACACAACATGTGGTTGGTTAGAATCCCAACCATTGGGTTGCAAATGTGGAGGCTTGGGATTTCCCAACCTCCAACAGGAAGGTTGGGGAAAACCCAACCAACAATTGCTTTGGGGTTAGGTGGCTAACCACCAACCCAATTCCCCTCCAACATTCCTTAGTCCCAACCCCCCCGATCGCAACCTTGCATAGGATGCGCTAGGCAAGCTTAAGACTAGGGGTATGGGGATGCATTACACTCTCAGCAGTGTCCGTCGGATTTCTTACATTCACAGATTCGAGAATCTATCAGAGCAGAAGCGTGTTTCGGTACGGCATATCTGGCTTCCCCACGATGAAGTCGATTCCAGCCGGCAGTAAGGACGGCGAGGTCTACAACGAGGGCCGAGACCTACCAAGCGTCCCCTTCCCATCTAAACTACCTTCACCATCCCATCCCAATCCCTGCCAACACCCCTCCCCCCCCCTCCCCCCCCTCTCCCTCCCCCCTCTCCCCCGCTTGCAGGTACGGCCCCTCTGGCTTCCCCAGCAAGGGCTGGGAAAGGACCACCTTTCCCTTCACCATAGCCCTTCCTTTCCCTCATCTCCCCTCCCCTTCCCGCGCTCAGAGGCACGTTGTGTCTGGCTTCCCCACGCTCAAGTGGTTTCCTGCCAGCAACAAGTACGGGGAGCTGCCGGAGTTCCTCAAGTCTGTGAATGAAAAGTTGTGCACTAGCAGATCCACCAAAGGCACCCTTGTAGACTCTGTGATTTGGGGGGGAAGTTTACTGTGAGGGAGTATGCTTGCTATGGAGGGCTGGGAGCAGCCGGATTTCGTCGGGTTCATCAACAACAAGGCGGGCACCAGCCGGTTTATCTCCGACACCCTCCCAGACACTGTGAGTTGAGAGGAATCTCTATTCAAAGGAAGCTTATTGGACGATAGCTTTAAGCTGGAATGAAGCTCTGTTGATATGACAGAACCTGTAGATTTGGGAGGAACGAAAACAAAGAATTTCTTATGGACAGCAGTGGTGCGTGTGAACAGATCATGCTTGTGTTAACACTCTTCCCTCTCCCTCCACTATCTCCTCTGCCCCCAATCCTGTGGGAGTGTTGGTGTGTGGGTGTGTGGATGTGTGGGAGTGGGTTCTTTGAGGATCGCAAGGAGAGCAGACTGTGGTGTTCTTGCAGCTGGCCAAGGGAAAGGACTCGTCCCCTATCCTGGCATGCAGTTACCGGCATCAAAGCCACGAGGAGCACCACTGTGTGACGGCTCAGTAGTTATTAACATGTTCCATTTGCCCTTTCTCCGTCCCCCTATGTTGCATCTTCTCCCACATGGACGTGCCATGCATCCAAACACACGGGCATGTTCCTCAAAGGCCATGAGGAGCATCAGCTTGTAATTTCCTATATAGTCATTCAGACCAAGCCCTTTTTTCCATGCATCTTTCCCCCACACTCGTCCAAGGACGTGGGCGTGTACCGCAAGGCCATGAGGGGCAAGTACCTCATCCACTGTGTTTGCCGTATACAGTTATTTAGGTCAAGCCCTCTCTACCGTGCATCTCTCTCCCACATGCACGTGCTGTGCACCTTCCCCCCACACTCGTCCAGGCATGCGGGCATGCGCCTAAGGGCCAGGGGGGGCATCGCTGACAAGGCAGCAGACTATGCCTACTACGGGGTGGCACGCTCCAAGTGTGTGCTTGCCGGGGTAAGTACCACTCCACTCACACACCCACTTGCTCTCATCCCTCTTGCTCTCACCCCCACTTGCTCTCCAGTTGCCGTATATGTGCCCGCACTTCCTGTCTTCATTGCCCTACATTTTCACTCCCTTATCTCCCAACTTGTATTGCCCTCTCGACTTGCGTTGTCCTACTCTTGGCATGCATACTTCCTCCATGCATCATTCTTGTTAAATTATATATTAAGTTATATAATGTGTAGGCTTGGTAGATTAGATATTACTGAACATTACTGTAGGGGGTACAACACCCCTCATTGTATCCCCCTCTCTTCTTTCCTAAACTCTCTTCTCTCTCGTCAATCTTCCTAGCTAAACCTCGGCTGCCATTCCATGGCGGCCTTCTCCTTTCTTGTTAGCTCACTTCAAGATAATTCTTTCACCCCCTAATGCCAAACAGCACGCCTTTCTCTTCCCTCTGCTACTGTGCACACCCTCAAGCCAGGGGACGCTAACGAGTTCTCAATCTGCAGAAACGTTCTCTCCGCGTTTGTCAGGGCCAAGAAGTATGCATCTCTCGCCGGCATGGCGCTGTGCAAGCCCCAGGCTATAGCGAAGGTGGGCCCAACTTGAACCTTTGCCTCCTTGAATCCGTCCAAGTATAGGATGACTGACTAAAATTACTGTTGTGAATTTCGGATGGGAAGGAGTCTGAAATGCGTTGCTCGATTTTTATTGGCTGACGCGACAATCAGCTAAGCGAAATGTACAGTGCGACACTTCTGACGCGCTCGCGACTTGAACAACTCGTGTGTCAGAAGGGATCGCATGTGCGGTTTTTTTCCCTGGAACCCAACTCGATTTTCAAGTTGGGACCAGGTTTGCTTCTCGGGTGTCACAGGGGGGTACAGAAACAGTGCGACGCCTCACGACCAGGCCTGTCGTTATCAGGGTATTTTACCTTGATTCCCTGATTTCACATGGTATTTTTTGGGCCAACCCTTAATTTTTAGGGTTGGGATTTTTTGAACCCTAACCTCTTCAGGGTTGTATGTCTGTGAACACTGAGAATTTCAGGGTTTGCGTTATCCCAACACTGAGTTTTCAGGGAGTAACGCGTACGAACCCTGAGTGCGACATCCATGTGGCTCACAATGCGGAAATTTAGGCGAAGTCCCCAATCTCCAGAGACATTCCCCCCCACACGCAACAACCTACAAAAATTGGTGAAGTCCTCAAACATTGCCTCACACACCAAGCAACCCACAAAAATCGGCTAAGTCATGTGTCGTACAGACATCCCCCCTACACACTAACAACAACCCACAAAAATTTGCTAAGTCTATGAAAATGTAACGGTCAAGATCGATTGCGATCGTTTCGACATAATTAAACCGTTAGATGGTCACATTGATCAACGTCCAAGATCTCCCAGCCGGGGCGCTGCTAGGGTGCGAATTTTCTCCGACCGCCCTATTACCCAGCTTCCCCCCTCCAATCCACTTCGATTCCTCCCTCCCCTCCATTTTCGCTCCCCCCACTCCCCCTCCGTTTCGTTTCCCCCCTCCCCTCCATTTCGATTCCCCCATCTCCCCTCCGTTTCGCCCCTCGCATCTTGGTTTTGATTCCCTCCCCCTTTCTTCCTTGGTTTCGACTCCCCCTCCCCTCCGTTTCGATCCCCCCTTCCCCTCCGTTTCGATCCCCCCTTCCCCTCCGTTTCGATCCCCCCTTCCCCTCCGTTTCGATCCCCCCTTCCCCTCCGTTTCGATCCCCCCTTCCCCTCCGTTTCGATCCCCCCTTCCCCTCCGTTTCGATCCCCCCTTCCCCTCCGTTTCGATCCCCCCTTCCCCTCCGTTTCGATCCCCCCTTCCCCTCCGTTTCGCTTCTCCCATTCCTCGACTGTATTTCGAACTTCCCCCACCCCCCAACCCCCACTTTTTCCCTCCTCGTTTCGCTTCCTCTCTTCCCCTATGTTTCCATCCTCCCCCTTCCCCTCCGTTTCGCTCTCCCCCTCCCCTCGGTTTGATTCCCTCCCCTTTTTCCCCCCATTTTTTATTCCCCCCTCGTGTTGAAGGCAACCCTGAACGCGCTCGGTGAACCCTGGGATTTTCAGGGTTCCAGATTTCTGAACCCTTACAAATCAGGGTAGGCAATTTTTGAAACCTGAGCCCTCAGGGTAAACTTTTTTTTTTATTCGACAGCTCAGGGGGAGTTTTTTTGAAACGTCAGGCCTGCTCACGACTGTACGACGAGCAAGATCGTCGAAACACTCGCAAGTGAACAGTGGTTTCGCCCTGAAATGGAACCTTTCATGCACAAACTACTTCCGAATCTATTTCGAACATAGTCAGCTGCCCAAAAATAAAAACCCCAACTCTTCTTCAAACCAAGCCCCCTTTCTTGTTCAAGCTGGGTCCAACTTGAATAGGGTTTGCTATTTTAGTGAAGGCCTTTAATGAGAACCCTATTAGATCGTTTTAGTTATGGATGAGTGCATCCTTGGTGTGCCTAACAAAATAAAAGCGCCTTGTACAGACCCCATGCCACACAGTGCTCTCTGCGTCTACACAGAAGCCTTCACTTGGTGGTCCTTGCCTCCCAGCAAGCTCGCCTCCTCCTCGCCCTCCACATCCAGGATAGCAGCAGCCATGGCAATGGCTTCACCACCGCTCTTGTCAACTTCCGCCCCTTCAGCAGCAAACCCTTTAGAGGTCCAGGGGTGAACCACAGCACTCGCAGCAGCAGCAGCACCAGCAAACAAACCACACGGGCTGCTGCCATCCGGTACCGCATCCGAGTCAAGGATGAAATCAATGGAGCTGCTGGGAGCACTCTGTGCAGCGAGCGCATAGCACCCCACAAGCGCAACCACAGTAGCGCTGAACAGAAACGCGAAGTGCACGTAAACAAGGGAGATCCCCAGGTGATCCCACTTGTCTCCCTCGCAAACCAGCTTGTAATCCGGCTCGGTGGGACTCGTGCGGCAGTGCGGGGGCTGCATGTACCCATAGAGCGCGGCTGCCGTCACCCAGTACCACGCGCCCTGGAGAAAAACGCCCACATTGGCGAGGATGTCGAGGAGGAAGCTTGTGGGAAAGGCAGCGGAGAGGAGCAGGGAGAGGACGGTGGCGGCAGCGATGGGGACGATGAAGAGGTGGTAGCGCGCCTCAATGGGGCCGTGGTGCGCCGTGGAGTGGAAGAGGAACATCACCGCTGCACACGTGAAGGGGAATGCGACGATCACCTGCGGCGTGCCCCTGGGGAACGGAAGCAGCCTGGAGGGGGGAGGGGGAACAGAGGGCGGAAAGCAGGGAAGCTGGATGAGATTGCAGTATAGTGACTGCATTGCATAGCTAGTGAAGCTTCTGGGAAACAGAGGGGGTGGAATGGAGAACTTGGGCACTTGAATGGGAGTGGGAGGGAGGAAAGGATAAGGCAGGCAAGTTCTTGGGGATGGGAGTGGGAGTGGGAGTGGGAGTGGGAGTGCGAGTGGGAGTGGGAGGAGAAGGCAATTCTGGTTCTTACTTGGTGCTGGCGTGAACAAGCAGCACGCTGTACGCCACCACAAAGGCCACATTGGTGGACAGGTGCTGCGAAAGAGAAGGGGGGAGAGGCGAGGTGGAGAGAGAAAAGTGGGAGGCGGAGTTGGAAGAAGGGGATGAGGATGATGTGGTGACGTGGGAAGGAACGGGCATTGGTGCTTTCACCATCGGCGACAAGGGAGAAGCAGCAGCAAGCAGACTCTCAACTGCATTTCGCTCAACGCGGCTCACCTCGTAGCTGTTAGGCTGCACGCGCGACAGCATGAACAGATGGACGAACTCGCTGACCATGTAAGCGAACCCGCCTCCCGCCACCGTCTGAGTCGCACGCGGGACTCATAGCTTGGATCAAGCCACTCACCTCGTAGCTGTTGAGCTGCACGCGCGACAGCATAAACAGATGGACGAACTCGCTGACCATGTAAGCGAACCCGCCTCCCACCACGGCGTACAGCTGCAGCCGCGCCCAGTGCCCGGGCAGAGGCACGGGGTGCCACACGCGCGCAACAAAGGCGCGCGGGGAGGTGAGGAAGCTTATAACGGAGCAGCGCAGGTTCCAGAGGCCGAGGAAGAGGATGAGCGAGCCCGGTATCACGTGCCCCGAGAAGCTGCCCATGGTGGCTTCAAGCCAAGTTGGCCTACAGGGTCTCCCCCGAATCGGAGTCAAATGCCTGCCTCGACGGCGCGTACTAGTAAGTCGTGTAGCAGCTTTGGCACGAGACTCGGAGTAGCAGCTTCGGCACGAGAGACACTCGGAGCCTCGGAGGCTTAGAGAGCTACCAGGGGGGGCGCAGTGAGTCGGCCCAGCAGGGACGCACGGAGCCTAATAGCTCCAGTGGCGGGTCACAGGCGCACTGCTGCTAGTTACTAATGCCCCGCAATCGCCGCTGGCGGTACTGGCAAGGTTTGGATGGAATTCTGAGCCGCCTCGAACTCACCCCGTTGCCTGCTGGGTGCTTTGAAGAGCTCAGCTCAGAGCCCGCCGCAGCAGAGGAGTCTATTTTTGAGGCGCCTCAAAATAGACTATATACCGTATAGATCTATCACGTGACGTTCGTCCCTGCCGCTGGTAGCCCGTCGAGGGGTGAGGCGTGGAGCACCAGGAGAAACCTGTGGAGGCGGTGGAAGGAGAGGAGAGCTTCACGTCAGGAAAAGCCGGAACGGAGGCGTGGTTTTGGCGAGGAGAATCATGCCTAGCGCGAAACGCCCTCGCGACGTTTGTGAAGGTCGCGGCAACCAGGCTAGGGTGCGGTGAGGCTCCGAATCTCGTTCCATCGTTTCAAGATGAGTCTTGAAGCTCCCCTCCGCGAGCGAGCGGTGGGTGGTATGGTGATGGTACCGTGTCCTGAGGGTATACCGTACCACACCATACCGTATCGTTCTGACATCACGATGCGCTGGATAGCGCAGCACTGGGCGTCGCCTCGCTGTAGACGGCTGCACGGTTTCTACTGTAGCGAGCGACGTGACGTGAGTCGTAGGGGAATACCGATGGGTTGTGAGCCCCGTGATTTGGGGGATGCTCTAAGCGTCGTGATTCGTGGAGAAATGCCATTTTCTGAGCTGGACGTGATACGGTTGGCTTTTAGACATCGCACCGGTCGCATAACGGTTGCATAACGGTCGCATACCGTATGCGACCACGTATCCGCCTCTCATCTGGCAAGCCAAGATACAGATTGCTGCTTGACTTTTTGGCCACACGCCCCCACCCTCTTCCCACCTCCCTTTCCCCTCTTCCTCTCTCGTCCGCGGCGGCTACTGTACAGCACCCTGGTGCCACGCGCCTGGAGCTGCGCGGACAAAAGTGAGAGGAGAGGAGGAAGAATGGGTGACGTGACGGTACGAAGGCCTTGTTCGAAGGGAGGCTGAAAACAGCGCGAAACTCGAGAGCGGGGAATCGGCGCGCTTTCGGAAAAAAAGACCCCGGAATGGCGCTTGCGGAAAGGAAGACCGCGGAATAGCGCTTGCGGAAAGGAAGACCGCGGAATAGCGCTTGCGGAAAGGAAGACCGCGGAATAGCGCTTGCGGAAAAGAATGTGGAGCCGAGTGGTGGCGGGGAGGCATAACTGGCATACCCCGAAAAGAGCGCGAAAGGGAGGCTGAAAACATGGGGGAAATAGAGGGAGCGCGGAATACCACTTGCAGTAATATATGCCACGCGGCGGCGGCGAGGCATAACTCGGGTACCCACTAAAAAGTCCGCCGACCACCTTCCGTGTTTGGGGGTACGGAAGTACAGCTTATTTGAACTATGGGCCTACAATAACCGTAAGGTGAATCAGAAGAGATATTTCATTCAGTGTTATGAATTATAACTAATTGTATAGCGCAGATACTGTAGGGGAGCATGCTTACAGAGTGTTGATACGAATGAGGCCTAGGGAATATTTAGGTCTGTTGACCAGGGTTGAATGTCGAGGGTTGGACCAGTCAAGGGCTCGAGAGTCCCGAGGGTGATGGGGCGGAAATGGGTTCGGGGCGACTCGGGTTGAGTTTGCCCGATTAGGTCGGCATGGGCTGGTTTGGTTCGTGACTTGAGGGCCGAGCCTGCGGTCCCAAAGGGTTCGCGTGTACTCGCTGAAGCGATCCCCAGTAAAATCATAATTCCTTACATTCAGGCTAACCGTTTCGACTATATAAAATGACCAAAACGTGCGGTGAGCGTAGATCGAACACGCGACCTTCAGATCTTCAGTCTGACGCTCTCCCAACTGAGCTATCCCCGCTGTGTGTAGAAAGATTTTTATATATAATAATTATTAAAGCTGGCGTTGTCAATGGACTACGTGGTCTCCTTTGAGCAACACGGTGGGTCTCGCGACACCTCAGCTGCGATGCTTGCCAGCGCATCCGTCTCTACGTGGACAGCGATGCACCTCGTTGAATGACTGCTCGGCTGCCAGCTGGTGCGGGTGGTCCAGCGCTTGCCAGGGAACCATTGCTGAACCTGACCTGATCAAGCCTTGGGAATGCCGCTGAATTTCAATTCAAGCTCCCAATGCCCTCGAGGATTCAGGCACTGAAATCAGGATTCAGGCACTGAAATCAGGATTCAGGCTCTGCGCTTCAGCCTTCTAAATTCAGGCTCTACGCTTCAGCTTTCTTTGTTCAGGATCAGGTTCTAGGCTTCCGCTTTCTACACTCAGGCTCCAATATCCCCGCTTCAGAAGCATTCAGCACTCTGAAGTTGAGCTTCAAGCATTGGGAAGTTAGAAATCAGGCTTCTGGTTTCAGGATAGCATTCAACGGTCTTTGAAGCTCAGCCTGTGTGTCACCCCTGAACAACGGAGCATAAGCGGTCGCCATCTCTCTGCCAGTCCATTTCTTGTTTTCTAAACTGAAGCAGTCCTTAGCTCCGCTGCTTCTAGGAGCCTGGAATAGTCCGCGTTATGGCCTCACTCGTTATCGCAGGGCCCTCCGGGATTGTCACAACCTGCTTAAAGACATCGTTAAAATCATTCGAAACGTCTGAACGTGTTTCGTGGAATGTCGTTACTTCAAAGGTCAAAGCTTTTCCGTCGAGCAGCAACGGCAGGGCCGTACCAAACCGAGTTGTGCGTGTAACGAGGGCTTCGAGTTCATCCGAGCCGTCCACTGCATCCGCATCAGGAGCTTCTGCCGCATCAACGGCTGGACTGATCCCGATCGCTCTGAAGCCAGCATTGGACAAGGTTAGTATTTTCCAAGCGCCAGTCGAGCAAATCCTTCCTACTCAAAAATGGCATACTCGAGTCGCGACTCACTTGGTAAAAGCGTGCAATTCTAGAATCAGGCATGTCACTCCTCGTTCTCACCTTCCACCTCCTCACCAGACCTCCTTCAATCATTCTCCTCACTCCCCCCCCCCCCCCCCCCCTTTTCTCCCTCCCCCTGCTTCTACTACCCTCCCCACATGTACCTTCCCCCACTTGTACCGCCCTCCCCAATAACCCTCCATTACACGGGACTCCATCTCGAATCTCTACCCTCCCCTTGCATGTCGCAGCGGGACTCGGAGGCGTTGAAGGTGGCGCTCGAGTGCCTCAAGGAGGCCGGCAGCGTCACGGCGTGGGGCAGCTACCCCAACGTCGCCCGGCGCACGGTGCGTGGAAAATGAAATGTATCCCATGACATTCCACAAGGTTGCATGACCTCTCACGACTTTCTTTAGCGTTTTGACGAAGCAAGTTTAGCCATCGGAGACACCTGAGCATCTTCAGCGGCGAGAGTTAAGAAGAGAACGCCGGAAGTGTGGTTGTATTTTTTCTAGGTGCCTGAAATTTCTTCTTGTACCGAACGGGAAAACACATGTCATGCCTGCATTTGACTGCGCAAGGTGAGATGGCAAAGAGTGCGCATCCGGATACCAACGGGTTGATGGGGATTATGCTCGGGTGTGGGAACGCTCTCGGTCGTTGATTTGCATGACGCGCACGGTGTGTGCCCTGCCTCGGTGCTGGCAGGCGAGTGTGCGCGAGTTGACGCAAGTGGGTATCAAGAACGCCGAGAAGCTCGCCGTGCCGTCCGTGCGCAACGATGTGAGTCGTGCACGCACCCCTTCTTCCACCCCCTCCCTTCCCCCCTGCGTTTTGCCATTCTCCCCGTCTCTTCGTCTGCACACCCCCTGTCCCCCTCGCTCCGTTCCGCTCGGGGGTTTACCTGCCTTACCCGCCTTCCCCGCCTTCCCCGCCTCTTTCCCCCCTTCCCTGTTGACCCCCTTTTCCTGATCCCCTCCACCTATCCCGCCCCCTGGTTCCATCCAGGCGCTTTTCCTCGCCACGGTGGTGGGGTCCACGTCCATCATCGCCGTCGTTGCCAGCCAACTACCAGGGGTGAGTTCTTTTTGTATGCCGCCAGGGGTGAGCCGTTTTGTGCAAGGGTTGGGAACTCTATTTGGCAAGAGTGGGATGTTTTCCGCCCTGGTGGATAAGCGAGTTCCGTCCACCACACTCGTCGACAGGCATTTGCAGGGGGCCGTGCTGTGCGCATCATTGTGCATGAGGTATCCGAGTTGCCCAATCTCGTACGCAAGCTTTTGCTCTCCAAGGTATTCTTCCTCCTCGTCCCCACACGTACCATCCCCCTCTCCCACCCTCCCCCCCTTCCCCGCCGGCCCGCGCAGGACTGGGGTTTCTTCGTGCCCTATCTCGTGGGGGGGCTCTCCATCGTTGTTCTCGCTGTAGGCAGCGTCGCTCCAGGGTAGGCTCTCCTCTTCAACTCACGCTCTGTCTCCTGCGTACACGCTCAGGCAAAGCGCCTTGATATTCTGATTAGGAACAATCGGGCTTGACTGTGCCTCTCATTATGTGCATGAACACAGAAGGAAACGCTAATCACGCCCATAATGCGAATACCTCGTGTTTGCTGTATTGACCTCCTAACCCGTCAACTCATCACACGGTCCTCCCTCTCCCCATCCTCGTTACAGGCTTCTCCAGGGCGGCATAGGAGCCATGGCGCCTGCGTTCTCGGACTACAAGGATCGCGTGCTCAGACACGAGGCGGGCCACTTCCTCTGTGAGTGCCTCTCCCGCGAGCAGTCCTCCATGTCAGACACGAGGCGACCCACTTCCTCTGTGGGTCTCCCCCCACCGCCTTCCTCCATCTGTTAACCTTTCCTAGCCAGGTCTACCTCTTCCCCCTGGAATGATATCCAATGCCGTCTGAAACTATCTTCCTTGCCCAAAGGCTTCCCGTTGCCCCTTACTCCCGCCGTCTGCTCCTGTAGCCCCGCAGCCACTAATCTGTTTTCTCAACTCAATTCCCTCGCCCTCCCCCTCCCTCCCCCGTCCATCCCCCTACTTCCCCCCTCCATCCCCCCTCGTCCTGCTGCAGTGGCGTACCTTCTCGGCCTGCCACCTGTCGCGTACTCATTGGACATTGGCAAGGAGCACACGAACCTGCTGGACGACAAGCTGCAGAAGAAGATCTACAGCGGCCAGCTGGAGAGCGATGACGTGGACAGGTGAGAGATAGGTTGGGTTCAGTGCAGGACGATCCAGACGGGTGCCAGGTGGTGAAGAACGGGGTTTTGACGACAAGCTGCAGAAGAAAGTCCACAGCGGCCAGCTGGAGAGCGATGATGTGGACATGTGAGTGAGGGTGTGTGGTAACATGTGAGTGAGGGTGTGTGGTAACATGTGAGTGAGGGTGTGTGGTAACATGTGAGTGAGGGTGTGTGGGAACATGTGAGTCAGGGCGTGTGGGAACATGTGGGCACGAGGTGTGAAGGCAGGGTGGGCGTGGGGGGGAAGCAAGGAGCACACGGATCTGCTGGACGACAAGCTGCAGAAAAAAATTGCAGAAGAAAATCTACAGCGGAAGGCTTTAGTGTGGCGATGTGGACAGGTTCAGCTGGGGTTTAGTTAGGCTCTGACGTTGAAGTCAGAGCCTCACATCTAGTCACAATGCACTATATCTAGTCTTGGAGGGTGAGGCTCTGACGTTGAAGTCAGAGCCTCACATCTAGTCACAATGAACTATATCTAGTCTTGGAGGGTGAGGCTCTGACGTTGAAGTCAGAGCCTCACATCTAGTCACAATGCACTATATCTAGTCTTGGAGGGTGAGGCTCTGACGTTGAAGTCAGAGCCTCACATCTAGTCACAATGCACTATATCTAGTCTTGGAGGGTGAGGCTCTGACGTTGAAGTCAGAGCCTCACATCTAGTCACAATGCACTATATCTAGTCTTGGAGGGTGAGGCTCTGACGTTGAAGCTGCAATTAATCTCTGCAGCACAACTCGTTTGTTCCTGTCCCCATTCGCATCCTCCTGCTCCCATCAAAACCCCAGACTGCCAGTGATGGCAGCGGAGGGGCTGCACTACGAGCAGGACAGCGGACCTCAACTTTCGTCCTGTCCCTCGTGCACCCTCTGTCTCTCCTTTCTAACCCCTCTCTAACCCCTCTCTAACCCCTCTCTAACCCCTCTCTAAACCCTCTTTATCCCCTCTCTCTCCCCGACTCTTCTCCCCCAGACTGGCAGTGATAGCAATGGTGGGTTTGGCCACAGAGGGGCTGCAGCACGAGCAGGTGATGGGGCAGACGGCGGACCTCAACGTGCTTCTATCACCCCCTCTTAAACCCCTTACATTCACAGACTGGCAGTGATAGCCATGGCGGGCATGGCGGCGGAGGGGCTGCAGTACGAGCAGGTGATGGGGCAGATGACGGGCCTCAACGCGCTTACTGTCCCTCATGCACCCTCTTGCACCCTCGTTCTCTCCTCACTCTGTCTATCCCCTCTCTTCTCCCCAGGCTGGCCGTGATAGCCATGGCGGGCATGGCGGCGGAGGGGCTGCAATACGAGCAGGTGATGGGGCAGACCGCGGACCTCAACTCACTTCAGCGCCTCATCAACCGCAGCGGGCTGGGCGCCATGACCAACGAGCGCCAGCAGAACCTCACGCGCTGGGCAGTGAGTGATGCTTGTATGGTGGATGCTTCACCCCTTGCACTGGGAGTGGGCTGGGCGCCATGACCAACGAGCGCCAGCAGAACCTCACGCGCTGGGCGGTGAGTGATGCTTGTATGGTGGATGCTTCACCCCCTTGCACTGGGAGTGGGCTGGGCGCCATGACCAACGAGCGCCAGCAGAACCTCACCCGCTGGGTGGTGAGTGACAACAGGACCTTCTTTCTTGCACTGTAGCCCAGCCCCTCAAACTGCAGCACTGTAGCACTGATGACTACCTAGACTTGAGGTTCGGATGTGTATTGAATGTTTCGTGCTTCCCTTTGTCCGTCCCTCTCCTGGTGCTGCATGCGGCATCACTCATCAAGAACAACGCCAAGTCCTTGGATACTCTCATGGAAGCAATGTTGCTGTAGCCACGGTGGTTACTCTGGTGTTAAAGCTCACATGCGCAGAAATGAACTGATCCTCGCTTGTTTCCCTTCTCTTTCCCTTCCCCAGGTGCTGTATGCGGCATCGCTAATCAAGAACAACGCCAAGTCCTTTGATGCTCTTATGGAAGCCATGGCCAGGGAAGCTCCAGTTGAAGAGTGCATTGCAGCAATCGAGACCGCTGCTGCGAAATAAGAGAGGTGACAGTGAAACGAGCTGATTTTTATTGTATATGTATCGTAGTACAGTGCATAGCGCCAGATGTTATTCCGCACATTTGGTGTCCCTCCATGCTGCATATTTATTCGCAAGTCACCAGCGCTTGTGCGTGTAAGGCACTGTAAAAGAAGCATCAAGTTGGAAGTAATTGCAGGGGAGAACTAGTAGACATCCATGGCATTTTTTAAAGCGAGAGATTATAACAGTGTCAAACATATTTGTATATGTTGTTGTAGACTAGATATGGTCATGCCTTAGCGAGTACTACATTTTAGGTCAAAACCCCCATGTACTCTCCTTTTTACTTCATTCCGCTATTCTAACATGGTATCATAGTAGGCTACGTCCGCCCACCCGCTTCCGCCCTCGCCCTAGCCTACCGCTGGCCATAGTAGGTAGGTTAGGTTAGCGCGTCCCGCTGGCCTTAGTGCGCCCCACTGGTGTTCCGCGCCCCGCGCGCCCCACCTAACCCTAGCACCCTGCCGGCCCTTAACGCCCCGACGACCCCTCGCGCGCCCGCTGGCCCCTCTGCGCCCTCGCCAAGGCCTTCGTGCCCCGCTGGTCCCTCCTGCGCCCCGCCTGGCCCTATCGCCCCGCTGAACCTGAGCGCCCAGCCGACCCCCTTTTGCCCCGCTGGTCCCCTACGGGCCTCGCCGGCCCTTAGCGCCCCGCTGGTCCCTTGTGCGCCCCGCGGGCCCTTAGCGCCCCGCTGGTCCCCTACGCGCCCCATCAGACCTTAACGCCCCGCTGACCCCGCGCAAGCCCCGCTGGCCCCTTACGCGCCCCGCCGGCCCCTCGCGCCCCGCCCGGCCTTCGCGCCCTGCTGGTCCCTCCTGCGCCCCGCCGGCCCCTCGAGCGCCCGCTGGTCCCTTAACGCCTCGCCGGCCCCTCGAGCCCCGCTGGTCCCTTACGCGCCCCGCCGGCCTCTCGCGCCCCTACCAGCCCTAGCGCCCCGCCTCGCCCTAGTGCTCCGCCGGCCCTTAGAGCCCTGCCGTCCCTTTCGAGCCCCGCCGGCCCATCGCACCTCGCCATCCTTCTATGCGCTCTGCTGGCACTGTGCGCCCCGCTTGGCCTTCCGTTCGGTCTTCCCGCCGGAGAGTTCTGCAGCCGCGCCGCTGTGCCGCTGTGTAGCTGTGTCGCTGTGCCGTCGTGCCGCTGAATAGCTGTGCCACTGTGCCTTTGTGCCACTGGGCCACTGTGTCGCTGTGCCGCCGTGTCGCCGTGGACCTGTGATGCTGAGGTCGCACGATGGCGGACGCTGTACTCCGCCTGGACGCGGAGGGGCACGCGATCGACTTCGCCGTCACCTCACAGGTCAGCGCCAGGATGGGCACTCCATGGCTGTGCATATTGATGGTTTGCTTCCCTGCCCCCCCGCGCCTGATCCCCTCCCTGCTAGCCCCACCACTGTTCAGCGTGAGGCCTTTTCTGCTGCTGCGCTTGCTCGCGCTGTCTGGGATTCCCACGATGCCATTGTGCAGCTAGCCATTAGTCATGCTCTTCCCCTGTCGGAGCGTCCGTGCTTCACCGCTGTCGCGAATGCCCAGGATTTCTTAGATGCAGTAGTTGAGCACTACTCCATGCCTGCCTCCGCCTCTGCTGGCCGCCTGATCCTCCACATGCTGTTCCCTGATCTTGCTGCTTTCCCCACTGTCGCTAGCCTAGCCACTCACCTCCGTGCACTCGAGGCTAGCTACCGCGCCGCTAGCACTGACGCTCAGATCACTGCCTTTCCCCCGCCGTTCTGCGCTACCCTGCTCGCTACGACTTCCTTCGTCAGCACCCAAGTGACGTCACCCTTGCCGCCTTTGGCACCGCCCTGTTTGAGATAGAGACTCGCGAGCACACTATCACCCAGTCGAGCGGTGCTATGGCAGTCCCTATCTTTCAGGGCTGTGCGCCCTCCCAGTGCACGTACGCTGACGTTTCAGCCGCGGTCGCTACGACTGCCCCTGCCACTGAGACTGCAGCTGCAGTGTCCCTGCAGCAGAGCCCGCGTCGGGGCCGTCGTGGCCCCAAGGGGGGGCGTGGTGTCGGGGGTGGTGGGGGTGGTGGTAGTGGTGGTGGTGGGGGTGGCGGGGACAGTGGGTCTGACGAGGGGATCGGGGCTGGTGCCCAGGAGCAGCAGCAGCCGCAGCCGCCGCAGCAGCAGCCGTCGCAGCAGCAGCAGTAGCCGCAACAGCAGCAATCGTGGGCCCGCCTCTCGCCGGGGTGGCCAGGAGCCTCTAGAGGTGGTGGTCGCAGTAGCGGCCTTTGCAGCTCGGCGTCGGCCGGCAGCTTCGGTGCTGTGAGCTGCCATTACCAGCTCCAGACCGGCCCCCTCCACATCACTGTGTGTCGTTGCCTACACCCAACTGCCCGCTGCTTCCGCCGCCTCGACGACCTCTTTCATCGCAGCTTCAGCCTGGCCCCGAACCACCTTGATTGGCCCAGTCTGTTGCGCCACGGTGTGTTTGTCTTTGAGTTAGACATGGATCAGATTAGGTGTGCCCTGCATTCTCTCTATGCTGATGCTTCTAGTGTGCTTGAATCATATTACCCTGTATCATCTAGTTTAGGTGTAGTACGTATGTGTAGTACATACTCCCCTGCTGCATTAGGCGTAGGACCTTGTGTCTTGTTTAGCCTAGGCTCCACACTCGCTCCTCCTCCGGCCGCAGCTTCTGCTTCGCTGTTCTTTACCCTTGACTTTGGTGCATCTGCCTGCTTTTTCTGCAACCACGCTGCATTCACGCCGCTTGCAGCGCCTTCCGCTATCGCACTCGCTGACCCCTCCTCTGGTCCTGTCGTTGCCCGTAGCTACACTATCCTTCCCTGTCCAGCTGTTCCCTCGAGTTCTCTTACAAGCCTGCACATCCCTTCATTTTCCAGGAACCTAGTTGGTGTCGGTTGTCTTCAGGACCTCAGCGTCACCACTATGTTCCCTGGTCATGAGCGGTACTTTGAATGTACCGAGGCCGCCTCAGGTGCCCCCCTTGCGACGTTCCCCCAGGACCTGGTGTCTGGCCTGTTTACGCTGGACATTGCTTCCCCCCGGGGGGCGGGTCCTCCTCGGGTCCTACGTCTACCCAGGTTATTGCAGCTTGCTCGTGTCAGTTGCTCACTCACTCGTCGCTTCTGTGGCACCACCGCCTAGGTCACCCCGCACTCCCGCGTTAGTGTCACATGTCTCAGCACGGTCTCGTCCTAGGTCTCCCTGCTGGCTACATGCCCTCCCTCCGTCGCCTGCGCTGCCGTGCACGCCTTACGTCGAGGGCCGGCTGCACCGTGCTCCTCACCCCTCCTCGCTTCGCCCTGTCACCGCGCCACTCCAAACCTTGCACCTAGACGTCTGGGGCCCAGCCCCCGTCCCTAGGCCGCGTCGCGAGCACTTCTTTCTCGTGCTCGTTGACAACTACACGCGCTACACCACGGTTTTTCCCCTGGAGCGGAAGGCCGACGCGCTTGACGTTCTTATCCCGTGGGTCGTAGCTGCGCGCCTCCACCGCGGTCTCCACTCCGACAGTGGCGGTGAGTTCGCCTCTGGTCGGCTTGGACAGTTCTGTCGTGCGGAGGGCATCTCCCACTCGTACACCCTACCATACTCCCCGCAGCAAAATGGGGTTGCTGAGCGATGCATCAGTTTGGTCATAGAGGTGGCTCGTGTTTCCATGATCCATGCCGGTGCATCCCATTTTCAGCGGACGTTCGCCGTTCGCTAAGCCGCTCACCAGCTTAACCTGTGGCCGCACTCCTAGCAGCTGCAGGTTTTGCCGACCCTTCTTTAGACTGGGTTCCCTGGTGACGCGTCCGCGTTCTACGTCTGGGGCTGCCTTGCTCACGTTCGTGCCTCTGGCACGGATAAGCTCACTGCCCGCACTGTCCCCTGTGTCTTTCTCGGTATCCCCCTTGACTCGTCTGACTGGCACTTTTACCACCCGCCGTCTCACCGCTTCTTTCCCTCCCGTGGTGTCACTTTCAACAAATCTGTCTCTTTTTACCACTGCTTTCCCCACTGAGGTCTCCCGGTTTCCCCTCCCCTGTTTCTGGTTCCCACTTCCCCAGTCGCCCTTGCTTCCCTCCCTCCCCGTCCTGCTCCGTCTGGTGTGTCTCACGTCACTCCCCTCCCGTCGGTTGTCCAATTCGAGGAGTCGGCTGACTCTGGTGGCCCCGCGGTGCATTTCTCGCCGCCTGTTGCTGCCCTGGTGTCTCCTCTGCCATCGCAGCAGCCGACGACGTCGCCGCCGCAGCAGCAGCCGCAGCAGCAGCTGTCCGTGGACTTTGGGGGTACTGGCATTGATGAGGGTGCTAGTCCTGGGGTTCCTGTCGTGGCTTGTTACGGCGGTCCTGGGGGTGGCACCAGTGCTGGAGAGGGTTCTGGTTCTAGGGGTGCTCGTTCTGGGGGTGCTGGAGTGGAGTGTTCCAAAGGTAGCCATGGTTCAGCTGGCGGTCTAGGTGTCGGCATGGAGCCACAGCAGCAGCAGTCGTCGCCGGTATCTGCCCCTTGCCTGCTTGGCCTTCCCTCCCCTAACCGCTCGCTTGCGCCTCTCCCGCCACCTCCTCCCCTTCCTGTCTACGGCCCTGTGTTTCCTCTGCTAGGCTCGTCCCCGACTCATTTCCCCCCTTGTGCCCCTCTTGTAACTCCTCCAGTGTCTCTTGAACCGACGCCTCTGTCCCACATCTGGTCTCGCCGTCGCTCTCGCGCTTGCCCTGTCTCTCCTGTCCAGCGCTCTCATCCCATGTTGCTCCATTCCCATGCGTCTCGTCCTCCCCTCCTCCCCTCGCCTCCTCCGTCGTCGCTCGTTGTCGCTCCGCCTCCTCTCTTAAACTACCTTCGTGCTGCTCGTCCTCTTGTTCCTCAGGTCCTTGCCTCCCTCGTTACCGACCCATCTGTTTCTGTCTCGAGTCTTGACACTCTTGTCGCTGCTGTCGCTGACTTCGCCTCCACCCGCCGCCTTGACTACGCCACCGCTCTGGTCTCTGACCCTGTCCATCCTCCGTCCGTCGGGGGTGCTACTGCCCTTGGTAGTGACGTCCTAGAGGATAGGCAGTACGAGCTCGCTTTCCTGTTTGAGGCCACTCCCCATCTCTGTTCCATACTGCTAGTCCCTCAGGGTGACCCAGACGCCCTTGACATCCCGACCCCTCGCACTTACGCTAAGGCGACCTCGGGACCCTGTGCCTCTCAGTGGATAGCTGCCATGGAGCAGGAGATGGCATCTTGGAGCTCCACCGGCACCTACATCGACGCAGTTCCCCCACCTAGG